TAGAAATTTTACAATTGTTTATAGACATTTAAATTTACGATGATATAATTTATAGATATTTAAATTGAAAAGAATATAATTTTTAAAAAAAATCATAAATATTTAGAATAACTACATTAAAAAATATGTTATGAAATTAGGAGAATTTCAACTATATACTATATATTTTATTTATACTTTTTATTTACATTTTAATTTTCTTTGACTTTATCCATTTTTTAATTCTTTTCACCTGCCTTTCTTTTTGAAGTAACGAGGCGTTTCTATTTAGATAATGAATTTTTATAAAAGTTCTTAACGACAGAATAAACGTATTGCTGTTTTATATTAGCTGTGTCATTTCGGAATCCATTCTTTACATAGTTGTTCATTTCAACACGCGGAAAATTATATTTTTTCCTTTTGTTTTTGTATCAGAATTTTTGCAAATTGCAATCGTGCAAACTGGCATTTCGGTAATAGTTTTAAATTCTTGTAAATTCACTGCAAAAACTGAGGAAAGTCATTATAGAAAATAACAAATGTCTTAGAATATCTCGCAAAAAGAAATGATCCAATATTAGTTAGAGCTAGTAAGGCCGAACGCTCCGTTCTTGAAGTAAAAGTGCGAGCTTTGCGCCAAAGTGACGTCACTAGAGAAAATCGGAGGATTGGCGCGGCAAGAGTTACTTCAAAGGAGTGAACCAGCCCTTCTATTCTCTTTAGCCCTTGGAAAGACCAGCCTAACAAGCCGGCTCCTCTTCATCTACTCTTCTTTAATTTTGTTCGTGATTAACTCGGCCTCTAGCGGTGAGCCAATCACTACAATTGTAAAAGGTAGGTTTTGTAGGCAGATAGTGCAGAATAAATGCTTTAATTTTATTCTATTAATATATGAATATAATTTTTTCCACTAGTATTTTTTTTAAATTTTCCTGTGATCTAATTATAAATTAATATGATGAAATTCTCAGCATGTGAATATGCCTGTCCTATTGGTCAATAATAATCTAATTTTGCAAATTTAGTCAACTCATTTATTTTAGTTTGGTACTTTTCCATTGCTTTTGCATCATTTAAAATACTATTACCAAAAGTTAAGCATAATTCATAAATATGGAAAAGTATAAAATTATTTTTTTGCTATTCTTGAAACACTTAGGGGAGAGTTGGGTAGCCCCGCCCACTTAAGGAGTATTGCTTATATTTCTGTACAATATTGAGTAATAATCAATATTTTTGTATGTTTCTATTGTTTTATCATTTAATTATATAATGTAAAAAGAATAGTTTAACTCAGAGCTCGAAAAACTGCCAGTATGCTCGTCCTTGGCTGTCGAAAATTCCCCGTGGACAACAAATTTCTCGAATCCAACGTCCGCACGGACGGCCATTTTCCCATTAATGTTCGTGATATATTTTTAATTTTTGTTATCTTACAAGAGTCTAGCTCCTCGCTTCTAAAATGACCCTCTAATCTCGAAATACAGCAACATACTGCGCTTGGTGGAATTGATGTTTTCTCTGTCTGGGAGTACTGCAGCGGTTGAAAGGGGCTTTTCAGCAATAATCTTACAAAAAAACACATTTCGTACTGGTCTTAAACAAGAAGCGTCAACCGCAATTATGAACATCTACCTAAGTGAAAAACCTCTTTCAGATTTCTGTGATGAAATTTCTGTAAATCATTGGCTTGATTGTGGAACTGGCAAACGTCGTATTTGATTCATTTAAAAAACGCTGTACCATTGGATAAATTGACAGATAACTTGACCTTTATTATTTAAATTATTTCATTAAAGAAATACTAGGTTTTACTATTAGTAACCTAGTACTTATTTTATTACCGTATAATGTTATCCTAGTATTTGTAATCCAAGTAACTACTAATTCATTGTGCAATTTATATAATTGTTAGTAATAAATAAGAGAAAATTATATTTTTATTTATTTAGAAGCGACGGGTTAGTTTCAAAGGAGGACGGGTACATTGTTGGACAAGCCGTCCTCTAGGACGGGTAAAATTTCTAAGTTTTTTCGAGCCCTGGTTTAACTTTAAAAAATAGAAATTTAAAAAATTTGACTACTGTATTCAACATATTTTCAAAACTATTGTTTACCATGTTACCAGCTGCAGAAATACTTGAAACTTTGAAAATAATATTTTTTTAATATGACAATTAATGTCCGATGGCCCATTGACTTGAAAAAATATTCTATACATACGAAATTGACAGTGGGCGGGGGTACCCGACACTCCCCTATTCATTTAAATTTTCAGTTTTTAAAAGTTAATATATTTTTACTTAAATGTAGTTATATCAAAAATTATAACATCCATTGGAAAATGACTTCAATCTTTGGCAAAAATATTTTCACACAATTTCATAAACAGAACTTAGGCAAGAATGTAAAATTTGACCCTTGATTAGGGAAAACATAAAACAAGAAAATTGAAACAAATAAAAAGGTGTTATTTCTAAAGATTTTAAATAAAATTCTCTTTTTACATTTGCTTTTCATACGTATTTTGAAAAATAAAATTCTTTACAAGTCAAGTTTTTAGTAACCATGTGTGTTTATAAACTATTTTTAATTTATTATTTAACTTATTTTTTTTATTAATTATTTTTTAATTAAAACCTTTGAAAAAACATGGCGTACACATTTTAAGTTAGTTACATCAAATGTATCAATAAATCCAAATTTTGTTAAACCTGATATTTTTGTCTAATTTTTATCACTTCAAAATGTATTTTATTTTTATATTGTCAAAGTTTTTTATGTTTGCTTTTAAATTTTATCTGGAACATTAAAGCTTCATATATTATTCTGATTAATATTCTATAAAGCTCATTTTAAATTTTATTTTAGAAAAAAAACCAAAGCGTAAAAAATCTAAAAGTAATAATAGAAGAACCAGTAACCCACCAGAAGTTGCTGAAGTTGACAGAGAAGATGAAGTAGAATATCTTCGATCACGAATCAGTGAAATTCAGTCTTATACAGATGACATTCAAAGTTATGTTGATGTAATTGATGAACTGATTAATGATAGAATTCCAGACAGTGGAGAAAATAATAGTCATGCCTACTTTGGTGGATTTGGGCGTTGTTACAATTGCGGTAATAATAATTCTTTAAACTCTGATTTTTGTTATTGATTTTTTTTTTTTGCCAGAGTAATATCATTAAAGCACTATCATCTATACTTTTTAAAAAAAAATAGGTATTTCAAAGTCAAATTTTTTTCAAATTTCAATATAAAGGAAAAAAACTTTCATTTTATTTTTAAAACTAAGAATGTTGCCTGTGTGTAACAAAGCCTTAATACACGTAATTAAAATATATGTTTGGCACTCTTCACTTGAATTATAGCGGTGATCTGCGGACTGAACTGTTGAAAGTAAAAATATAAGTTTAGACAGAGAAACTTTAAATACTAACCAGTGTAGTAACAAAAATTTCTTATTGGGAAATTTAAGAATCAAACTTTTTAAACATTTTTTTTCTTTAAATATGGTGTTCTCTTTTTCTGAAATATTTACTATATTAAAAGTAAGTTATTGTATATAAATATTATTATATATAAATGTCTACAAGTATAAAAAAATCTCAATTTTGAAATTTCAATTTTATTGCACAGCAGATTACTCGATTTTAAAAGACAAGTGCTTTTAAAACCTTTGTGATATTGAGTTAGTACATAACTGATGAAAAATTTTTGTTTACCAAGCATAATTTAGAATTGAATTTTTTAAATTTTCTTTAATTTAAATTAATTTGTTTGTGGTTTGATGCCTGGCAAATTGGCTACTTGTCATTTATATAATATATATATGAAGGTTTCAACCTTAAATAAAAAATAGCTTTCTTTTTATTTATTTACGGACGTTTGTAATAGTTATATAGTAATGCTAACAATTTTAGTTTGTTAGAAATATTAAGTATTTTCAGGGCTCCTACAGGTCTGAGAGAACAGGAAAATCTGGAATTGTCAGGGAATTTTATTTTGATTCTAAGATGCAGGGAAAGTTGAATTTTTAAATTTTTTTTAATACTAAAACAGGGTTGCCACTCAAATCTGGAAAAAAAAATTCATGTGTTTTCCCTGTACATGTTATAGCAATATATTACGAGGAAACAACAATTACTGTGCTCTTGTGTGAGCTATATTGGACTAACTATATTTATTAGTTTTAATAGCTGGGAAAAGAGCTGAACATACTTCAATAATGCTATGAGAAATGAAATAGTTTAGTATAACTGAAATATCATGGTTAAATATCCCATAGATCAGTGGTGCGCAAACTAGGGGTCGCGACCCCTGTGGGGGTCGCTAGAAGTTCTTTGGGGGTCGTCAAATTTTTATGAAATGCATTATCCCTGCATGCTGCATACTATACAGTGTACATATAAAGAGTGAAGCGCCGTCACTCACTGTTTAATTGCAATTTCATGCTGTCCACTCTTTCTTTGACCGTAATGCGTAATGTATTCTCTATCTGGCTATCCGTGGAAAAACAATATCCCGTTTTATGCAAGAATGCCATCAGAGTGTTAATACAATTTGCATCAACGTATTTATGTGAAACTGGATTTAGCAAACTAGTTTCAATAAAAACTAAATACCGCTCGCGTTTAAACCCTGAAGATGATATGCGAATTGCAATTAGCAACATACATCCAAACATCGATGAGATAATTAGAAACTTGCAGCCACATACATTTCATTAAAGGGCAATTACTGATTTTTGTGTTATACAAAAAGTATTTTCTTAAAATTATAAATAAAATTATTATGAGTCAAATATGATGTTATTCGATGAAACGAAAGAAATGCTCAAAATATACATCGTATTTGTGGACATTTATCTCTAGGGGTCGCCAAAAATTTTCTCTCTACAAAAGGGGTCGCAGTCGAAAAAAGTTTGCGCACCACTGCCATAGATTACGCTTTGAGTGGTCACATTTTTTAAAAGACCAAAATAAAAAAACAAAATTCCCTGTATTTTCCCAGTTTGTAAAGAAAAATTCAAAATTCCCTGCATTTTCCCTGTTATTTTAGGTGATTTTTAAATTCCCTGTATTTTCCAGGTTTTCCCTGTGGAGTGGCAACCCTGTAAAATTCCCATATAATATAATACCTGTAAAATAACCAGTCTTAGAATTTCCAGAAACAATTATCAGTTATTTAAATAATTCTAACATCTATTACTATTATTTGTTATAAAAACTCACTTTTTAATAGGCTTTTCCAAATTTCCATCCTCATTCAATGATATTTTTCTGCTCTCAAAATATAATATTTGACATTATAAAAAAGAAAAATCAAAGTTTTCCAATGAAAAATTGCATGGTACAGTAGGGAACCGATTATCTGGAACGGTCGGGACCATCGCCATTCCGGATAACTGATTTTTCTGGTTTTCTGAATCGCTACAAAAAGCCGTTTTTTATTGTTAAACCCAACTAAAAAAAAATATTTGGAAATAATCTTAAAAATAAGAAAAAACGATGAAGTAATACACTAATGATTATTTCTAAAATGATGGTAAGGTAAACATCTTTAAAAAAAGAAGGAAAAATCATAAAATCTTATGAGGGAAAATTTTTTTTTTTAAAAAGGCGAGAAAATTTATTGAATTTCGTTCCGGTTTTCTGATTTCCGGATAACGGGTTCTATACTGTATATATAATATATAGTCAGAGTTTACATGGAAATTTTCCTGTAATACTTTGAAAAATCAGGTAATTTTTTTTCTTCTTCAGAAATTAAGTGGGAACCCTGTTTAGGTATAATGTTTTTAAATAATGCTGATACACTGTAGCAGAGCTTTGATTAGTAAATGAAAAAATAAATAAGTGAAAGTAAATAAAAAATTTAAAACTAAATCTGATTTTCATTGTAGAATCATGATTCTTACGAACCCTGTTTGTAAAAATGTATCGTAAAAATTCATTTCTCTTTGGTATTGATGCTTATGACTGTAAAATTTATTTCCTTATTATTAATTAAAAAAAACTTAAATGTTTTTTCCCTTTTTTAGGTCGACTCGGGCATTGGGCTGACGATTGTCCTCATTAGAAAAGAGCTAGTTATTTATAACCATTCAAAACTTCTTTGGTGTAACTATGTTTCGATATTAGTTGGTATTGCAACCATCTTTTTCCTCCTTTTGTATATGATTATCATTATAAAATTTTTTATGTCAAATGTTTATTTCCTTCTATTTTTTGAAAAAGTCTTCTGATATAAAAGTAGAATACTGTGTTTAAAAATAAAGATCTTAGTGTTATTCTTTAAAATTGTATTTTTGTGCTTCATTTTTGTATCATAATAACAGCAATAACTAAGAGGTAACATTAGAGTTCACACTGTCTTTATATTATTCTAGTGGTTTTTTTTTTAAAAAAAAAGCTGTGTTTAATAAGTTGGAAATATTAATAATTACTGAAAAGTCACCATTTTATTATTCCCTTTAGTCAATATTTTTACAATTTAAGTAAATAGGTTGAATTTTGTTGGTGGTATGTATATGATATGAAAACCTAATCATATGTTTTGCATTTTAGTTTAAAGCCAGTCTCATATAAATCAATTCAAGATGGCATTGATTTTTCATAGTTATTCTCATTTTTTATGATATAGTTTGTTGCTAAAATATTAGAAAGTAGTCACTCATGATGAAGTTAAATATAACTAAATATTTATTAGTTTTGTTATAGTTAGCATAACAAAGGGACATATTTCTGAGTTAATAATAGATTTTTTTTTATAATTAATAAATTTTGAGTTTCATTGAAAGAACTTATTATTCTTATGCATTCATAATTTTCAAAATTTCCTAATGAATTTTCGGAATGGGAAATGAAAGGCTTATAACTTATTTTTTGACCAGTAAAAATAGCGAAGACTAATGTTCATCTCTTAATTATTATTTATATCTTCTTTATTTGCAAAAATTAATTATTTAGCTCTAATAATAGCTAAATTACTAAAAATAATGTCAAATTAGAAAAATGTTTCCAACTTTGTGAATCATCTGAAAATTTTATTATGGGTTTAAAAATTAATATATCTTAAAATTGCTAATTTTTTGTCCACCTAATGTAATTATGTAGTTACAAGGTGTGGCATGAATATATAAAAATATTTTTAGTTTTTGTGTACATGGCAAAATGAAATGATTTCATAGCTTGATCTTCTAAACAATGTTTTGATACTGGCTAATTAAAATTTTTTCCAGGAATTTAGCTTTAAACAGGTTTTTGAACAAAATTCACAATCAATATTCAATATAAACTGGTTTCTAATCAAAGTAAACTTTTAGTTAAAAATCATTTTTTGTGTAGAAATATTATCTGGTATTATTTGACAGAATTGGGACCCATATAAAAAGATTTTAGTAGCTGAAATATTTTGTCATAGTTATCAAGGCACCAAGTTTTTTTGTCATAAAAAAATTTAAAAAAAGTACTTGAATAAAGAAAGGACAGTGTACTCTGGATTACCTTTTAAAATTTTGATTAAATTATCTTTAGTTGCTCACAAAGTGTTGTAATGATTTAGCTATTATCTAAATTTTTAATACTTTATGTGATCATCGATAAAAATCTAACTGGTGAAACTTCTTTTCCAATTTCAGAAAGTTACTTATAAAATTTTACCAGTTATTTAATGTTATTTATTTTAAAACTTAACCATACTATACCTCAATCACTGCTGCAAATCTTGTCAGTCTCAATGTAGGTGTATGCAATTGAATAACATTTCTCTTGAAATAGAAATAATTTAAAATTACTGTAAACAAATTACTTTTTCATTGATTTCAGATGAAATATGTTAAGCATGATTGATTTGTATACATTAATTATAAGGCATCTAAAGGCTAATATAAACTAACTCAGTGGCGCGACAGCCCATTAAGAGGGCCAAGGCCGACTGTACCCATCTCAGTTTTCTTGACCTTGGGCTCTGGGGTGCAGGAGCATATGTTCCGGTCAGGTGGTCAGCCGAACGCGGAACCCCCAGTGTTAGTTCCCAAGCATGCTTGGTACTCATTTTATCGACCCACTGAAGGGATGAAAGGCTGAGTGAACCTTGCCCGGCCCGAGGATCGAACCAGGGACCTGTGGCACGACAGCGCGAAGCGCTACCGCTCAGCCACCGGGCTTAAAGGCTAATATAACTTGAAATAAATCCATAATAACAAATTAATGTAATACAATAATGCAAAAACAATTCCATTTCGAGTATTTTAAAATATATCATTAAGAGAAGAAATAAATAAAAGGAAGTTACTATTAGAGAATTTGTCCAATCATCTAAGATGTTAGGACCAAAATTTCTTACATTAGTGTTGACAATGTATACAAACAACTAATATCTAAGTTCATTTAAAGCACAGTATTAAATTGATTCAATACTATTATAAATATCAAGCCTGGTGCCAATCACTTCAAATTATAATAAATTGCTTTATATATTAATATGATTTCTAAGTAAGGATTTAAAATATTAATTAGAATAGTAAACTGTGCAATGTTTGCAATAGCACTCTCCTTTTATGCTTTGAAACTTTAATATATTTAGCTTTGTTCATTACTTTGAAGATTATTTTTTATTCAAATAATATGTAGATTTTCTTGCCCTTTCCATTAAACTGTGTATTTAGACCCTAATAAAATTTTTCTTACTTTGTATATTTGTTTCCTTTCATATTTTTTAAAACTCTTATAAAAGAGACTTAATATATTTTCTTATAATTATATTACAATTTCTAAACTGATAAAAAGCAGAAAACTTTTTTGTTAACCAATTTTGGCCAAAGGTGCAGAAACATGCCATTTCAATAAGTATTTCTTTAGTAACATCGTGACATATTTTTTGCTGATTTTAATTTTCCTGCTATTTTTAAGGGTTCTGAAAACATTGATAAAATATTAGTAATCAAATTTTCATACTACGCTAGTTTTTAAACTTGAAACGGTATATTTTTTATTAATTTTATTTTTCTGCTATTTTCAAAGGTTTTGAAGACACATATAAAATATTAGTAAATCAAGTGTCATAGGCACATGTAGTTGAGAAATTTTCTAACTACATTAGTTTTTTTTAAAAAAAACTTAAAACGGTTATTGACAAATTTAGATCTTTTGAAAATGAATAATTATCCCATTTGAGATTATTCGTATGCATTTATGATTAAAGTTGCAAGATCTGTAAATAAAATTAATGTCATAAAAAACTAAGGTTTAACTAAATGATTTATCCAATAGTGTATAGAAGCATCATTTTATTTCTTAAATATTTTTCAATCGCAGAACTGTTTTGTATCTTAATGAAGGTACTCTTAAGAATATTCAGGAAAATGCCACAATTTATAAAATGGGTTAACTGTTAGAAACAAAGTTTTTTGAGAAGGTAGAAATTTTTTTCACAGTATTTGTTTGTAAGAAATGAGGTTCTCTGGTGATTTTGAGGTACAAACCTGTTTTCTTCTGTCACAGTGTGATCAAGACAAAAAATCACTTTTTGAACTTACAAGCAATCCTTCACACATGTTAGAATATTCTGGTATAAAATTATAGCATTAACTTTAGCTTATACAGGAGCAACAATAACTGCGTAAAAAATGGCAACTTAATTTGAGGTATGTATGAGTTGCAGAAAACTAGTTATCCCTTATAGTATTTTTTGTTACTGCACATCAAATAAATAATCTTGAAGCACTCTGTGAAAACTTGACACATTGTTCGAATCTCTTAATTTAAAATTAAGTTTTATTTTTGAGAAAATTTCGAGGTAATGCATATGGCGTTACCTTAAAGGAACTAACATAACATTAATTAATAGATGATTATAGTAATTTGCAACATTTTATCATGTTTAGACTTTTGGCTGAAATGGAGTCTGTTTCACACTAAGCTATCAAATAGATAGTACATAATCAGGTTTATCCTATTATAGCAAGGTAAGTTGGTTATCTTGCTCCAAGGTCTCAATAAATTCTGGGATTTGAAAGAAAAAATATGTAAGTTTTTACAAACTATAAATCAAGATACAAGCTTGTTCTCCGATCAAATATGGTTGCAAGATTTATCTTTTATGGTTGATGTAACCAAACACTTATCCGATTTAAATTTATTGTTATAAGGCAAGGATCAGATCATTTCAAACATGTTTGACATAATTAAAAAAGCATTCAAATGTAAACTATTTCTTCCGGAAAGGCAACTGAAAAATGAAGATTTAACGCACTTCCCAACGTGCAACAAGAACCAATGTAGTTTAGAGAAATAGAAAAGATAATNTATCTTACTGAACTGAAAACCCACCTAAAGTTAAGCTTTGTTTATTTGGCCCAAGTTAGCTTTTGAGTTTGACACCCCTGCTTTAATACTTGTTGATTGAGCAAAGTAACTTCTCTTTCAATTTTAGTAAACTATTTTTTTCTCTTTCTTTTCAACTCAATATGTTTATAGTTATTAGCTTTTTGTAATTAAATCAATGTAAATATAATAATATGCAGCAATTTATTAGTTAACACCATACATGGGTACGTTAATTTTAAAAAGTAATGAGTAAAAGTGCAAAAAAATGCATGTGTGTTTTGCATAAGTACAAAAAAGAAAAAAGGAACGTTTTTAAAGCACATTTCGAGGAAATCGAAAATTCTAAGTAACATTGAATTTCGTTAAAATTTTTTAAAAAAAAAGTATAATTTAAAATGCATTAAATTTATTGAAATAGTGAACGATGAAAATACCCAGAAACAAAACCAGAAATCAAAATATACCTTTGTTTAAAAAAGATTAAGTCTGTAAGGTACTCTTCCCCCACTCTAAATAAAAGTACTGATTTTAAAAAAGTAATGAAGTACAAGTAAAAGTATTGCCATGCATGGTTAATGCAGTATTATGTTAACATGGAAGTAGATTTTCTTTTCTGTCTGAAGGGGATCTTTTTATTCTTAAATGATTTAAGTATTGTTAATTGATCAACCGTATATGTCTTTGTATTTTAATAGTATATGTAATTAACAATTGTAATTGAAAGTATCTTAAGAATATCTCAAACCACAAAAAGGAAATTCCTCCATTACGCCAATAATCCATGAAACTGTTTTAATTATCTTACATAATCAGAGATGAAAATCAGCAAAAATGTTGCAAGATTACAAACAAAAAGTTAAGACACATTTTTTAGAATGGTAACCAGTTTCAATAGTGAACTGACGCATTAGAACCAAAATTGATTTAAGAAAAGTTTTGTCGAAAATAATTTAATATTTTATTTTTCTATTTCATTTGATTCTATTTCAGATTTCAACTTACATCTATATTTTACATATGGAGAATAAATATCAAACCCAAAGGAAATAAAATTGTCAAAAAATACACGATACCGTAATGGTAATAAATAAAAATTAACAAACTGTGCAGGTGGCCATATTATCCATTCAGCAGTATAAATTTTTAATCCTTTTTCCATAAGTTCTTCCTTCAGTTGTTTTAATGATCTTTCTAAAATTGCTACTGTTCCAAAGTAAACAAATAAATTAATGGGAGAAAATAATATCTGATCATACAATACTTTCTTAACTACAGTTCTAAATGAAGATCCTGGTATAAATATATCTATTATAATGTACCAGTAATGTGATACAACACCAGTAGTTAACCCTGCCGCACCCATATGAACAGTTCTAACAGGTTTCACTTCCTCTTCTTTTCCTCTTAAAATTTCATAATGTTGTTGCACAAGATCTCCAGCTACACCCATAGCCATAGAAAATGTAGCATTAGTCAATAGCAAATGCTTCCCAAACAAATTGCTCCCGATCACTGCTGATTTACGCAACGCTCTTCTTACTAAACTGTTAACTATTGCAGCCATTGGTAGTTCTTATGAATTCTGATTGCCAATCTGCAAAGAGAAATTTTACAATCAGTTATAATGATGAGAGAAATACATATAGCAATATATGAGTATAATACACAAAATTCATTGCAAACATTTTTAGGACAAATTTTAAAAGCATTTAATTTCATGAAACTCTGTACTGACTGAACAAATTATTTGATATCAATACAGAACTAGTAATTTATATTTAGATAAACTAGTGATGTATTCAGATTTGTAGGGGTTACTCCATAAAACATGATTACAGGACTGGGTGAACTGCAATACCAATTAAGCATTTGCAATGTATAGTGATTTACATCTTATATAATATGCACATATGTATAGAGATAATCAATCAATGCAAATGACAATCTAGCAAGAGAGGTAAGATTTTTCAAATAAGGCACTGAGTTAGCCTTTTCAGATGCAATAATTTAGAACAGGGTTGTCCAACTTGCATGAGGCCGGGGGCCACAATTGAAAACACTAATCAAATGGCGGGCCGCAACTTTATCAAAATTTTAGGTAGGACTCTTTCATGTTTGAAGGAACATTAAATATTACTGTCAGATTTTTACCAAGTTGTACAAAACAAAAGTATTGAATTACAAATTAAATTAAGAAGTAGATTTTTAAAAATATTTAATTGCATATTAAAAAATTATGGCTACAATAACTTTAATGTGCACCTATGTATTAAACAATTAATGTGCAACAGATATCTTATAAAACTTTAAAAAGGTTGGTATTAAAACTTACATAGTAGCACACAAAATGTTCAATGACAAAATTTAGGTTTGTCTGCTGCTGCAACCACCAGAGAATAGATATTTACATTTTAAATTTAAAATTTACAAATGTGTGCGTAAATATTTTTGTCCAAAATGAGTGGTTTCAAAATGTTAAATCGGAGAATTTCTTTGAGAAAATTTCTGATACACACATGCTAAATTATATTTATTAAATACAAAAAAATGAAATAAAAAAGAGTATTTTTGTATATGAATAAATATTTTCTTAGGTGCAAAATCTGAGAATTTTTTTTTTGCACCGTTGATATGTTAAATTTCACAGAAACGAAGAAATTAGGTTTTTATTAACGGGAAAAGTATTATAAACCCATGCAGATTTTTTTACGAAAATTGTCAGCAAAAAAATGACAACTAATATATTTTAGTTCGCGGGTCACAAAAAAAAAGCTTCGCGGGCCGGATCAGGACCGCCTCGAAAGAAGGAGGAGTTACAGTTGAATAGGGGGCCTCGGTACTGAAAATGATCTTCAGCTCTGACGTCATGCATCACAATCCATGTTTCAGCTGGTTTGTGTTGTATGCTGTGTTGATTACATAACAAAATTGTTTTTTTTTTCTTGTTTTTTTCTTCAGAAAATAATGAATGCACTACTAGTTATTATTCTAATTGTCCGTGTTTTGTTCTTATTTGTTGTATGATTGCATTAAAGAAATATTAGCTTTTGGAATTTTAAGCATTTTCATTAAAATTCTAAGGAATTTCTTCTAAGGCTTATATAAAATTTGTTATTTTACGAGTNTTTGTCTGCTGCAACCACCAGAGAATAGATATTTACATTTTAAATTTAAAATTTACAAATGTGTGCGTAAATATTTTCGTCCAAAATGAGTGGTTTCAAAAAGTTAAATCGGAGAATTTCTTTGAGAAAATTTCTGATACACACATGCTAAATTATATTTACTAAATACAAAAAAATGAAATAAAAAAGAGTATTTTTGTATATGAATAAATATTTTCTTAGGTGCAAAACCTGAGAATTTTTTATTTTTTTTTGCACCGTTGATATGTTAAATTTCACAGAAACGAAGAAATTAGGTTTTTATTAACGAGAAAAGTATTATAAACCCATACAGATTTTTTTACGAAAATTGTTCGCAAAAAAATGACAACTAATATATTTTAGTTCGCGGGTCACAAAAAAAAGCTTCGTGGGCCGGATGCAGCCTCCGGTTGGAAACCTCCGATTTAGAACATGGCAAGTAACTTCCAATGCCTATATAATGCTAACTTATTCCATTGCTGATATGAAGCCCGTCTTGCACCTGGATACTACATTTGTTTTAAATTTGTAATACAAAATTCTTCGTCCTCTATTATTTTTCTATTCTGTATCAAATAGACACCCTCCTATGGCTCACCTTTTGCTTTTCAATCTCACATTATCTGATGAAAGTTTTTGTTTCTACAAGTTATGCTGCTTACTACAGTAGTGTAAAATTGTTTTTTTAGCAGACAGTACATGGATAAGGAAACAATCGACATTAAAACTCCTTTAAAGAAAACAATCTTACCTCTACATTATTTAAATCCTCGTTAGCAAAGGAATAAAATAAATAATCAATTGAATTTATCTGACAAATGAATAATAGTATTTTTTAATGGTACAACAAACATACAAGTACAAGAACAGTGAATATGAACAATTTTGAAGCAACTAATTTTGTTATAAATTTAAGTTAATAACATAAAATACAAAATTAATCTCAGTGAAATTTTATTAACATTAAATAAGACAAATTGAAAAAAATGTCAGTTTTTAACAGCTAAAAGTAAAATAGAAAATATATACAAGATAAATTTATAAGAGTATGTAAATTTGACACTTAGCACATTTCTATAATTATATCAACAAAGATAATTTATTGGAAATCTTAAGTATTTAGTTGCCAAAAGTCAATAAAACATACACAGGATACATTTGTATGATCATCAATAACATATAATATTAAAGAGTTTAGATTTTAGGACAGTAAATTATTCTAAAGTAATAATAATAATAATAAAAAATTATTGAAAATATTGAACTTCTTATAAAGTAGAAACTTTTTATAGTCCTTTTCCAATGTATAGTGAAAAATACATACAAATATATATGAAGTCAAAGTAGGTATTATTGTGATTTTTGACTCTTTTTCCTGTCAGTAAGAAAAAAAAAACATTTCACAATCTTTAACCCTTTGATGTAGAATTTTTATTAAAAATACTTTTAGCATTAATTCAGGTCAAAATAAGTGAAAAATATTATGTTCAGCATTTTAATAATCTATGGTTATGAAACACCAGTGCCTTTCTACGTAAAATTGTCCATACAATAATTTTTTCAAGCGGGCACTTATTTGTAGTGATTTAGATCTAAGAGAAACAGTCATTTATTATTAAAATTTCTTTAAATTACAAAATAAATTTTTGAATCTTGATCAAATTTTTTTTTCAAACCTCTTTTTTTCGATTTTATACTTGAGTACAAATATAATTCCAATAATTCAACATATTTTTTAAATTAACTATTAGACTGTTTATTATAATTAAAATTATGAAATATATATTTTTGCTTGTAATTAGAGTGTCAGAAAAAAAAATGTATAAAAGAGACACTAGTGTCTCATCTGCATCAAAGTTTTTTTTTCTTTCTTAAATATAACCATGGCACCTTTACAGTTTATAATTTTAGCATAAAATTTTTTTACTGTTTTCCCCCCATAAAAATACCTTTGTCAGTATAAATTAGCAAATGGCAGAAAAGTACTTCCTTAAGTGCTTACATAATATCTGAACCGTCCCATAAATACAGGATGCAAAAAGTTATCAGAAAAATGGTGTGTTTAAATATTTTGATAACAATATTTAGTTGAGAACAAAATTTCAGCTTTAGTGTTCGTACTAAAGCCATGCATCAGGACCATGTTTATCTTTGATGAGTAACATTTTATCTAGAACAACACCACTTTGGTCATCAGAAACTTGTTCCATGAATAAATGAGAACTATTAATAATATTCAGCCTGGTGTATCCATAATCAGAAAATCTTGCAGCACTCCATTCTGCAGGGATGTCAACAAAAGGATCTAAATTTTCTTGGCAGCCAGCAGAACCTGTAATAATATGCACAGGAGCTTTTGGATTAGTGTAAGGTGCATCAAGGCTTCCATTATACACTTTGTAATCATAGATGGGCCATAGCCTTTCATATAAATGTTCATGAGCCCATAATTCCAAGTCAACTCCATATTTGTAAAACAAATCTTCTAATCCAAAAGCCTGAATGACAGGTATACCTTTACGAATAATACTTTCTCGATGTCTACAGTCATCTGTATCATTAGTGCTACAATACATGGGTCTATGACCCATTGTAATAATCCAAGGTCGCTTTGCTCTATTTTCTGGAAGATTAGCCTTTTTTAAATCTGCCTCTAACCACTCATACTGACGAACAATTTGAGTCCAGCCATATTGGACAAAAAAATAAAATTCAGTGGAAAAAGCTATGATATGTGCGGGACCAATATCCATGCTATAAAAATGGTTGTTTATTTCACCTTCCTGATTCATCATACTAAACCGATTAGCATAATTAGAAAAATTGTATGTGTTTTCATGGTTTCCGACGCAAACTTGATAAGGTAGGTAAGCGGCTATTGTTTCAATTTGCCTCATGAACTCATCACCAATTGCAGCATTTTCAGAGTCTAAATCATAGGCCATATCACCAACATGCAAAACTGCATCATACATTCCTCTCTGTACTTCGTTTTGGATACGTGGCAATGATTGGGCATTGTAATTACCCAAGTCCCCATAAACAACAAATCTTGGACTCCAGTTTGTTCCATTCTTCATAGCGGTAAACCAATAAATTGCACTCCATCCATCAGTACTTCCACAATGATAAACATATTCAGTACCCGGTACTAAATCATCAAGAAGTACTCTGTGTATCCAAAGCACACGAGCTTCAGATCCACCATCTACAAATTTTGTGATAGATCCAGTTTTTATAAGATTTAGTTTTTGAATGCTTTTTCCATACTCAACAGAAGAAACATTTGTTTGGTTCATGGTGACCCATGTTACCACCATCTCATTTGGTTGCTTCCCATAAGACAAATGAATTTGTTCAGGCTGAGTATTTAAAACAGCTAAAACATCAATAGTACATATCATTAAACAAAGAAATAATGTAATAAAAATCATTTTGTTAGTCTGCCGATTACCAAAACTACTAGTGAATTTTTGTATTTTGGTTGTTATTTATTCACAATTTATCTCTCCGAATTGCGATTATGAAATTATCCAAATAATTTAACTAAATCATCAAGATAAGATAGAGATTAAATCAAAAGGTCATACTTATGTAATCCTAAAAAAAAGAAATGAAACCCACGTTGTAGCAATTAAAAACGTGCTATTATTTAATGTACAAGAACAATGTGAAATAGAAAACTTTTAAAAGAAAATCAAGATGTTACCTTGTTAAACATGTCTCGTTTTTAATGATTAGTTTAATTATTTCATTTCAATTTTCATGTTTTTCTAAATTACATAATTGTTTCAGAGTAAGAGGTGATGAGGGCTGTGTAGAGCATTTGTTTATTTTATCTCAAGAGATTTATAAAAAAATGAACTGACTCAACTAGAACAAAGTTTTATTCAGTCGTTAGTTCGTTAAATATCATTATGCTTAATTAAGATATTCATCTTTTTAAACTGAATGAATTTTATGCCTCGGAAAGTAGCAGAGCAAAATTCTCTTGACCAGAAAGCATTAACACACTTTTGGAGCTTTGCATTTTTGATGTGTGGCGCCATCTATTACAAGTTTAAACTGATTGAGAGTGGACTCTGGCTTTAAAAATGTAGGGAACATTTCAAGCATATTTTTCCTTTTCTAAGATTTCAGACTAGAAATACATTTAAATAGTGCTTTTTATATGTTGATTAATGATTTTATTGAATATTTATTGAATAGATGATTAATTATTTTTTAATCAAAATGGATGAAACCTTCGAAAGCTCAGTTAATATAAATAAAACTTTACTTTTGGCTTAATTTGAAAATTTCTTCTGGAGAAAATCGTTTTGATCTTTAGTTGTAACATTTTAGGAGTGTATATTTTTATATAATTTCTGATTTAATGATAGTGTTACATTATTTTTGCCAAGGCCAAGGGGCAAAATGGAACATGATATAAGTAAATAATGTTTTTTTTTTTTTGAAATGTAGGTAAACTTTTAATATTATTTCATATTTCCTTATTTCAATAAAGAATAAAATCTTAATTTTAAATTTGTGATACAAATATCAACGTTTCGGGAGTTTAAAAATAATTTAAATAAAAATGATTCTAAAACATTTTTTTATAAATATTTTTGTGTGAATTCAAAAAATTTTTATTAATTATTTTTTACAGAATAATGCAAAAAAATAGGATACATTTTAATATATTTATGGATTTTTGATTACATTTATATTTCCACACATAAAATATAAAATTGAATAATATATGATAGTATATTATTTCATTATTAATAAATGAAAAAACATACCATCATAGTATATATTTTTTAAATATTTACTATTAAAATGATACGCTAAAAAGCTTTTTTGAAAACGCCTAAGTAATCAGACCATAGAGTCTATGAATCAGACACGTCAGTTCAGCGTTTATAAATAGTTGTAGTCTTATAAAAAAATAATGGTTTGAATTAAAATTAGAAGGAAAAAAAAAGTTTATAAGATTGAAATTCGCTCACTATATTTTTCTTTAATTAAAGAATACTTTAGGAATTGCTGCAGCATACTTCCTTGTTGATAGTAACAGTTTAATAAACTCAAAATTTGTGATTTTTGGTAGCCCCTTCTTTTTTGTATTCTTTTACGTAAAATGAAATATTTCAAGAATAAAGATTCAAAAATAAACAAATGCATATTTATGACGTCTATGCTGGTAAAACTATGAGTTTTTACTATTATAGAAATCAAATCTACATATCAAAAAAAAAAAAAATTCAACTAAAAGTAGAAATTTTTAAGTATTTTATGTTTGCAAAAATAAAATTTTTATAAATATATGGCATTTGATAAAAATAAATAAAATGAATATACAGAATTCATTCTTTATTTATGTAGTTAGATGGTCTTTTTTTATTTATTTAATCCATATTATTTATTTCATTACTATTTCAACTAAACTACTGCATCACAAGAGTGCGACTAAAAATATAAATTTTAATAACGTTTTTAAGCATTTTATAATTTTAAAAATATGAACTTTGGAAATAGAATACTATTTAATGAATTGCTATTATTACACGTTATTTAAAACTACGAATTATTAAAGCTGTATGTTTTTTAATTAATCATTTGAAACTTTGAAAAATAAAAAGATAAAAGATAGATCGTAGGCAATTAATATTTAGTTGAAATTGATTTTTATTTTATTAGTATTATTTTTTATTTCAGTAGGAAATTTTTTTTTCTTTATTTCTATACATACCCCATGTTTTATCCGATAAAATGTTATTTCAGAATACTCACAAAAATTAATTTAACTTCCGAAGTATTGATTATTTACATTGAATAGTTTTTATTTTTGGAGCAAAAAGACAATTTATCATACAAATAAAAATTAAAGCAATTTTATTTAAGGAGTATCGAATGAGGAAGGGAAAGAAACCGGTTTTGTCTGACTTTCGCTTTTACTATTAAAGAGAACGGAATAAAATTTTATATCTAAGTACAACCTTTTAATAGGCAGCGGGCCAAAAACTGACCCATTTACTTCAGACGATTTTATTAACCACTAAAATTGTAATAATTTTAATCTCTAAAGTACTATAAAAAAAAGATTATTAAGAAAAATTATAAAACGTTAGATTTAAACTTTGAAAAATAAAAAGATATAACAGNGTAAAAAAATAAATTTATGAGTACTGTAGCGTATCTACCACTACAAAATTACAACTACAATTCACTAGTATATAAGACATGTTAACTCGACACTATGTCGGGGAATCTTTTCATAGATGACGGTTGACATGGTCTGTAACTACTCTCCCCACACTATTAAAGAGAACGGAATAAAATTTTTATCTAAGTACAACCTTTTAATAGGCAGTGGGCCAAAAACTGACCCATTTACTTCAGACGATTTTATTAACCACTAAAATTGTAATAATTTTAATCTCTAAAGTACTATAAAAAAAAGATTATTAAGAAAAATTATAAAACGTTAGATTTAAACTTTGAAAAATAAAAAGATATAACAGATAGCTTCCTTATAGAGCTGCTTATGAGAAACACAATTATAATTCCGATCCTGATCACAATTAATTCTTATGTCTCTTCTTGACTAAATTGGTCCAAATTTTTTTCTGCCCTGTAAAGGGTTAAGACTAGTGTTAAAAACGATTATCTAAATCTTATGGTTTTGATTACAGTACCAAAATTGCAGTATCATATTGTGCCTTTTTTTCCTTCCCGTTATCGTCTGAGTTTATTTAGTTGAATTGAATGCGGATTCATCAAAAATCAATAAAATATACTTATCTTTGTTTCAGCTTAGCGCCGTCTCCCCCCCCCCCCTNCTCCCCCCCCCCCCCTTATATTCAAAGCATCGTTACAATCCTATTTTAAATCTTTTATTATGCGATTTACAGTTTCGAAGAAAAAAGTCCTCGTTGTCATTTGAAAATTTTAAAATTCCGCCTCCTTAACTTCGAGAGCAGAAAAATCATTTTCTACACTATTCTTAAACGTATACTTTATAATAACTTTTGTACAAAATTTTATACACGGTGTTCTCGCTAGGGAGTTATACGCAGGCAAAGTTATTCCGAACACAAACTGCCTGTAATATACATGTATTTTTTTTATTAATATTGTTGAGGATTATGCCACGTGAACAGGATTGGATTAAGGTTCTGAAAATAGCGTATATAAGGAGACTAATATTAGCAAGTATTAACCATGCATAAGTAACTATAGACTTCAATAATAAATTTAAAAAAAAAATTCAATTTCAGTTTGTGTTTTAGAAACATTTTTAAAAAAATAACTTAAAATCTTTAATTTTTTACCAAAGTTACTATAGCATAGAAACGATTTAATATTAAATAATTAAAATATATTAACCGTTAAATTTATTCAACATGAAAAAAAAGGGGGGGGGAATCCCGTACGTATTTAGATATGTTAAATACAGCAGGGAGCACTACACGTATCACTTTTCAAAATTGTTCTTAGAGAGAAAATATTCTAATTTAAGAAATTAAAAGAAAAAAAAAATTGAATTTTATCTTAATACCAATTCTATCTTAATACTATTCCAGACACATCAACACTTTTTAATTGTTTAGTAAATGTTAATTGAAAGTTAACTAGGTATTTCATTCCGCACACATTTGGCTTGAAGTACAAGAATGTAAAACATAAAATTAGAGAGTTGAATGAGGACAGTTGAGCAGTTTTTCAAACAGTCTGTCGTTTTGAAAAGATAGCTATTTTGAAAATTTGCATTCAAAAATGTGGCAATCATTGCGCACAGACCACCTCTACTTCCCAGACGAGCAATCTGAAGCTGGATTCAAAATGCACCTCACATTACATTTTTAACGATTCTTGAGAAATATTGTAAAATAATACTTATTGTAAATTTTTAATAAAAACGAACAAAATTCTATTTAACTGAAATTTGCAGTACCTGAAAAATAATTAAAGGCCTGGGCGAGGGTTACATTCAAGGGTTATACTCTCAGTCCAGCTCTGCAAGATGTACGTGACAGTTTAGATATTAAATAATGATTATAATATGACTAGCATTGACTTAACTTTGAATTTAATGCTTTTAATTTTAAACTTCTTATTTTCTGACATTTCTTGATTAGTTAAACTGGTCGTTTTATGGGCATAAATAAAAGGCAATAAACACACCGATATATGTAATTATGTATTTTCTACATCAGTAGTGCTTTAAATACATATTTTAATGCCATCAGAAAATAACTATTCGTAATAATAAGAGTTTGGGTGTGTGCCTTATCACTTCAGAATCAATAGCGTTTGTTTCTTGAAATTTGGACAGAGGTTGCAAATGGCAAGATAAGTCCACCATCTTAAAATTCTTTCAAAATTTTCAGTTCGTTTGTTCGAAAGAGCCGCTTGAAGAGCAGCATTTTCTCATTGATAAGGCGTTAGCCATTGTTTCAAATTGAATCATGTAGAGTCAAGCATTTCCGTCACAGCCCAGCGATGGCTAGGAGGATGGGGGCATTTGCAGGCTAAAGTTCTACAATTTAGAGACCAACGGCATGATTAGAGCAATGTGATCATCATTGCGCACAGTCCGCCCTTACTTCCCAGACAAACTGGCACTCATCTATTAGAAGCTAGTGAGCTTCAAGCCACCACTAGGGAACGAACCCCGGTTCTTCACAATAGCAGTTCAGTGCCTTAACCACTGAAACATTGCGGCTGAAATTGAATTATAGACAATTCTATTTTTTAAATAATATTTACAATTTTATTTTTTAAGATAGCAGCTTAATTGGGTACTAGCACTTCAAGAAGAAGGTCACGAATACCCACAGATGTGACTTATTACGTCAGCTGATCGTTTAGAAAGAAAATGGCTTGTTAAAGTTGGGTTAAGTTTCTCCAAGTAAGTTAGAATGTTAATTAACGTCAAGTTAGTTAATTACACTGCTGTAAGCACATCGAAATCACTTCGATATAATGATATCTCGTCTGCGTCTTTTACTTAACTTAGACTTATTATTTGTTTATATATTTTATTGTAACCATGCGATATTTTTGTTTTGCGTATCTGGCAACTTCGATGTATAATTAGTTTGTTTATGTTCTACACGGATTCGTGCCTGTCCTTGTGTTAAGTAAGAAATATATAGTGAAAGAATAGAAATATTTGTGAAAGAATATAGAATATGTCATCTAAGAAATGATACTGGCTAACTCGAAATATAATGGAAAAAACAATTGCTAACGTTAGAGATAGTAATATGTTATTATAGTTAATATCACGTGACTGTAACTACTACTACTTCAACTTAATTTTTGCTGTTTTACTTTAGTTTTCGCTTATGGCAACTCTCTATGTTCTATGAAAAAATAAATATATCGTATTTAAAATTCTTGTAAATAAAAAGTCACTTTGTAAAGTTAAACATCTGAATATTTATTTCGAACAAACAGTAAAAGAATCTTATGCGACAGCTAACGTAAACAAATGCCATGTTTCACCAACCAATGAGGATCGAGATACCCACACTACGTCACTTGCAGGTACCCCATTCTATTTTTTAAGAAAAATATTTCAAAGATAACAGGGACAAATATATTAATTCGTTCAGGAGAAGTGTAAAAATATCTCCAAACTATTATCGATACCAATGATTAGTTAATTTTAGTAACAGGTACTAGTTGAAGTGAAAAAATAAACTGTGTACTAAATAACAAAATTAATGGAAAAAAAAATTACTTATTCGATTAGGGAAGCCATAAAAAATCGCCATACTATTATTGATGCCAATAATAATTAATTAATTTTGGTAATAGGTTTTAATTAAAACAAAATTAGGCAATGTGCTAAAAAGCAAAATTAATTGAGAAGTGGTACTAATTCGTAGGAGCAAAGTAACAAAATAAAAAGACGCATTGTAATTATTGTCGCCAATGATGTTCAATTAACTATGGTAACTAGGCTCTACTGGTATTATGGTAATTGGTGCTGTTCTACTATGAATTAAATACACTAATACAAAGTATTGTACTAGTTTATTTGGTACTTATACTGCATCAAGACCACACAGTCTTAAAATAGATATTGATAAAATAGGTTTTTACGGCCCCTCTAAAAGTATAAGTACTAGAGAAAATTGCTTGATTGGAATGAATTTTAACTATTATGAGTTGACTTCGAGCAATAGCATTATGCCAAATGATACTAAATACAGTAAATATTTATTTTGATGGGATGATCTGCCGAAATTTTTTTTTGCTTAATCTAATAACGTAAAGCTATCTAAAGGTCAACAAATAAAATGATTATTTCAGCTTTATTATTGCATCGGCATATAACTTCTAGTTTTGTGCATGACTTCGTTCAGCACTGATTTATTCACCATTTTTTTTTTTCGACCAGCACGAAGATGGAATTTTTCTCATTTCTCATTGCGAAAAACAAATTTTTCTCAGACAAGACAACAAGTGTTTAATCTTGTAGTGCTCGTAAAGATTTGAAATAATAATAATAACAATAAATGAAAAACATGGCTCTGTTAAAAGTGTTTGCTCACCATTGTTAAAGGTATAAATATTTCCGTTTTATTATCTTAAATCAAAATGAGGGGTAGAATTTAAACGTAATATAATTTTAAAATGAAAAAGTACTTCTGTAAATATAGATTTAATCAGATGAATAGTTTTAGAATCTTAGTTTTCCTATATTGTTTCAGTAAATGAATATTTCCACTTTAGATCGAATTGGTTCTGGTACCAACATTCCTTTCTTATCTCTAAAAGTACAGACACGTTAGAGTGTTTTAATTAACACTAGATTGCCCAAGGAAGTCATTTTGACTGCTTTTTAATTTCAATTAGAAAAACAATGATTTATATAATGACACAATTTCTTAGAACTTTGTGACTTTTATAATTATTTTTATTGTTGATATTTATTATTAACTAGTCATATAACTGAAAATAATGTGAAAAATGTTAAAAATTATTTTTAAACAAATTTCCTTATACATTAGTTATTCTTTCACAATGCAGTCATTTTGACTGCTTTTGGGCAAAATAGGTATTTCACTCTTTCTAGTGTTAAATAATATGTTATTTAAATTTGAAAAATATTAAGTGTGAAAAAGTCTTAGTTAATTAAGTATTAAAATTTTGTTAAGTTACTATTGTGGATATTTTTTTTCAATGGTTAAAATTTTATGAAATAATATTTTATTAGACAATGTATCAAACTAAAACAATTTAACAAGCATCAAAATTTCGCTAGGGTGAGAAGCTTCATATTTGTGTTTATTTTCACTTATCTTTAATTTTTACCTGTTAACTAATGGCAATTATTTATTCTTTTTCATAATAACTTTTGAGATAGATAAAATATAAGATCATAATACAAATTCGTTCGCAAATCATTCGATCTATAAAATATCGTTTAGTATTTTAATTCCATTTTTATAATAAATATCGTTTTGTATCCCCTAGTATGTTTTCTAACATATTGAGGCACTATAATCATATAATTAACCACTAAGAATAGATCATTGAGATTTATATTTTTAAGTTTTCGTAACTGTGGAAAAGATTTCTCTGTTATCATAATTTATGTTAAACTTAAATCAAATTTCCAAAAAAGCTTGTTTCTGTCAATTTAAATAAAAAAAACAACAACATAAATGTAAAATAGTGTACACTACTTACCTGAAATATAAAAAAATTTAGACTTAATTTTTTCGGAAAAAACTTTAATAATAACAAAAAAAGTTACTGCTCCGACTTCAACAAAGCGAATAATTTCGGAAGGAAATTCCCCCCCCCCCAAAAAAAAAATACCTACTATTATGAAAAGCAACAAGCAGCAAAAAACTATAATTAAAAATTTAAACTAAAATTCAAGATGGTATGTGGCCAGATTATTTTAACAGACTAAATTCACATGTAGTCTAGATATGCGTAACCAACAAGAATTAAAAAAAATTGCCTTGATTTCTAAGAATTAAAGCATTTCTTGTAAATTTGCACACAACATTCAAGAAGAAAAAATTTTTGTTCCTATGATCAATCAGTTTTTTTAACCAATTATGTACTATGAACACAAAATAATAATTTTGAAAGATAAAAAATTTAAAGACAATTCCTCATAAATTATATCAGGTATCAGGTAAATATAAAAATAAGGTAGTAGTTTGTCGGTACGAAAATCAAACAGGAGACATCAGTAAAAATTAAAACAAAGCAATTTAGTGAGAAAAATGTATGTTTACAATTATGCTTCAGTTCTGTGTTTATACTTTATGAGGAACACTGTATTAAATACTTTTTAGACAAATGTATAGTTTTATGATTAAAGCTGTGTTTCAGGTTCATGTTTATCATTGATATAACAATAAATGGAATACTGCTCCATTTGGTCACTAGAAATCTGTTCCTGATACAAGTTAGTATTGTTGTGTTTACAGCCATGCTTCAGGTCCATGTTTGTCCTTTATGAGTAACATTTGATCAAGGACTGCTCCATTTTGGTCATCAGAAACTTGTTCCATATACAAGTGAGTATTATTTATAATGTGCAACCTTGTGTAACCATAATCTGAGTACCTAGCCGCACTCCATTCTGCTGGATCATGCACAAAAGGGTCTAAATTTTCTTGACAGCCAGCGGATCCAGTTATAATGTGGACAGGAGCTTTAGGGTTAGTATAGGGAGCGTCATAACTACCATTATATACTTTAAAGTTATACACAGGCCATAATCTTTCATAATTGTGTTCATGGGCCCAGATTTCAAGATCTACTCCATATTTATAAAAGAGATCTTCCAACGCTCTGCGGATTACACTTTCTCGTTTAGTACAATCATCTCCATCCGTAGAGCTGCAATACATGGGTCTATGTCCCATAGTAATGACCCATGGGTGGTTATTTCTGTTCTCCGGTAAATTCGCCTTTTTTAGTTCATTTTCAAGCCATTCATATTGCCGTGCAATTTGACCTTTACCGTAGTTCGTGTAGAAGTAAAACTCAGTTGAGAAAGCAATGATATGAGCAGGTCCAATATCAAAACTATAAAAATGATTGTTTATTTCGCCATCTTGATTCATCATACTGAAACGATTCACGTAATTAGAGAAATTGTATGCTTGTTCGTGATTGCCGACACACACTTGATATGGAAGATAAGCTGCAATTGATTCTATCTGTCGCATGAATTCATCCCCAACGCGAGCATTATCGGTGTCCATATTGTAAGCCATATCACCAACATGCAAAAGGGCATCATAAAATCCTCTTTGCACTTCCTCTTGCAATCGTGGCAGGGATTGAGCATTTATATTACCCAAATCTCCATAAACCACAAGTCTCGGACTCCAGTTTGTTCCGTCCTTAATAGCCGTGAACCAATACATACTGCTCCAACCATTTGTGCTACCGCAATGATACACATATTCAGAACCTGGTACTAAATCGTCCAGTAGCACTCTGTGAATCCAAAGTACTCTTTTGCTGGAGCCACCATCAACAAACTTGGACACAGAGCCGAATTTGATTTTATTCATTCCATTTGGAAACTGTCCGTACTCTACAGCAGATGTATTTGTAGGATCAAAAGTTACCCATGTTACAATCATTTCATTGGGAGATTTTCCATAGGATAAATGTATCTGTTCAGGTTGAGTATTCAAAACAGATTGAGTATTTAAAACAGCTAAGACAAAAGTTGAACTAAAATATAAGCTCAAGACAAGAAAAGACGGATATAATTTGATCTTGACAGCCATATTTACAGATCTATTGGAATAATGTAAATTTTCTCTAGCATTTTACAGTTATATAAACCTTGTAGCGATGAAGTAAAATCACGATAAAAGAATCACGAGGTAAACTCGATAAAGGAATACTGCGATAATAACAAATAGTTAAAAAAAATTAAGTTTCGAAAGAATGGAACATTTGCAATATAAAGCTTATCGATGTAAAAACGTCTAGAGATATAATCCATTGTAATTTCTTGATAAGTCAGACATGAAGAAAAGTCAATAATCATTGACAATCTGACAAAATTTGCACAACTAAGTTCAATAAGATTAGGTTGAGAGGTTATGCAAACGCAGAATTAAATGAAGTGATATCTTCATTGATATTTTAAGCTTAAACTAATTTTTTCGGTTTAAACTTTTTTTTTTTTTTTTTTTTTTAAACAAAGGATGAATATTTTATGCCCTAAACTGAAAGTAATTACAACATTAAAAAGTACTTCAAAATTTCTTTTCCAACTATTAATAAATATTTTCTATTAACTATTAAAAAAGATCCACTTTCATTCCATATATATAAACACAAATGAAATAAATAAAAGAAGAAAAATGAGAGGAATTAATTGACTATGTCAACCTTCATCTATCAAAAGGTACCTATCGATGGAATTAAGTTAGAGAGTCTTATATACTAGTGAATTGGTATTTAATACTTATAGTGGTAGTTACGCCACACATCATAAAAAAATAGAGTAAATGAAGGTTTTTAATATGCTAATACATCAGTAATGCAAGTGAAAACGTGAGTTCACCTTTTCTGTCAGTATTATACATGAAAATGTCACAATTCAGCATTATTTAGCTGTATACAACTAATAATATTAGCATCAGTCTTCTTTTTAAATGAACCTTAGGCGTTTTTCCCGAATGAATCAATACGAGTATTAAAGGAACATGAAAAATTTAATGTAATGAAAAATTTCTCTTATTTTGTCTTTCAATGAATACATTATGCATGCTACAAGGGCATAAATGGGACTGAAGTACTATTTTGAGTTTCACATTTTATATTTCACAATATTTTTAGAATTTTTCTGTTTTCAGTGAAAAAAAAGTTTTTATTTCAGTATGTTTTTTATTAAGAATTCTAATATTTTCATAATACAATGCTTATTAAAAAAAATTTTAACAAATAAAAAATATTCAAAAACTTTTTCAGTTGAAAAAAGAATAATCGTTTTAAAATTACACTATTTCACTAAAAACTATCTGAACATATAGTTGGTGATGGTCTGTTAAGCAGTTTTTTAGATGTAATGACTCAACTTAAAACTTGCTCACATTAATTTATTTTATAAAGCTCAATGATACGTAAACACATAAAAATTACACATCAACGGTTATTTAAACTAACACTGAGTCTAATCAGCAACTGAACTTAAAAAGATTTTTTATAAAAAAATTTATTATTTTTTTCAATCTGTTGTATTTAAACTAAGAGAATTTGTATAACTCATAGAAAATTAAATTTATAGGAAAATATTTTTTCTTTTAAAAAAACCAGAGACAGTTAAAATTAAATCTTTGTTTTAGTCATCAAAGGCCGAATGGAGAGACCACAAAATTTGGTCTTTATTCGACGTATATCTCGGACTCGGATTAAAATTCTTCAGACACGAAATCATCTCTAATGTCTACTCTTAGCTATTAAAGAGGATTTTACCGTTGGTGGCTCTTTTTACCGTTCTAGTCTAATGTATACTCTCAGCTACCAAAGTTGTTTTTACCGTTCTAGTCGTATGTCTACTCTCACAGATACCACAGCAAAGAATTATACTAATTAGGTATTGAAAATTGCTGTTCATATGGATTAGAGATTTATAAACTTCAAAATAATATTTTACAAATTGTGTTTAAGTGTCGTAACGTTTTTCCTTCTTAAGGAATTGTTTTTATCCTTTTCATTATTCCGCAAAAAATTCAGCAGTTCGTTCAACAAAAATTTACTCTGGCTATTATGGCAACAATCTATTAATTTAATGCAACCGCAAAGAGTAAGAAAGTTGGGTTTACGAAACCCTGATACTTGTTTGATTTATGGGAGTGAGAGAAGAAATACGATTATTAGAAATACACAGAATGTTAACTGGCAATCAGACAGGTTTTATGTTCTGTGCACTCGGTTTCCGTAATCGCAACTTTTCAAATTTTAATAGCGTTTTCTTTCTTTTTTTAAATCGGCTAAAAATAAATTTGCGATTCTCAACTTTCCTCCCCATATGGTATTACTGACTGACAATGGTATAAAAGAACCGCGGTGGCTCAAGGGATATAGCGTTCGCCTTCCAATGAGGTAAACCGGGTTCGAATCCCACCGATGACTGGTAGATTCGAAATCCGTACCCGGCTTGCTCTGTGCTGACGTAAGAATATCCTCAGTGGTAGACCAATCATGGGTTAGAGTCTCCTTGCCGTCAGGTTAACCGTGGGAGGTTTTCCTCTCCATGTATCGCAAGTGCAGGTTAGTTTCATTAAAAATTTCTCCCCGAAGGCAAATTTCTCCCAATACTTGATCCAGGAGTTTTAACATTTTCGCAACTAAAAGGCAGATGCACTGTTAGGACTGTTTTTTTCTCCGAAAAAAAAGTAGTAATTACATTCTATATCTAACTAGTAATTCTTTTCCTCCGGAGAATTCGCTCACCAGGTTATTGAGCTAACAATAAGAAAAAAGGTTAAGAATTTGTATTTAACCTAACAGAAAATATTGCTCTATTATAATTAGTTTAAATATTTACTGTACTCTAACCGTATTTATAAGGAAACAGAATTTCCGAAGTAAAAAAGTGTTTTTTTTCATGCCTAAATTTAATTTGAATACAAATAAACATTGCCTACCTTTTGACTGGTATAGAAAAAGTTAGGCTAGGTATAACTTTCATCACATACGCCAGCGTAAGTCTAACTCGTGAAAGAGTGTCTAAAGTCTCGCAGATTTTAAAATGATCGAAAGTTGGCAATCAAAAGTAAACCAGATCATTAATTATTCCCTACATAGGCAAGCAAAATTTTATCATTGAATAATTAACTTTTTGCGGTGCAAGAGAAAATGAGCGTCTTTTATTATTTTAGAAAATATCTAATACGATCATTAAAAGGATTGCAAGTAAAGAATTAACAAATGTGAAAAATTTAAATTTTACGACTTAATTTTTCCCTTTTTTTTATTAGTTCATTGATTGAAAATAGCTATTTTTTTCCCTCTCTAACCCAAACACATCAGAATTTTTTTAGAAGGAAGTTTGGTTTTGTGACTGTTTTTTCTTTTATTTCGATCAAGAGTAATATGGAATATTTAATTTATTGTTTGACATTTTTTTTAATTTAATCAAACGAACTCTATTTTAAATGAGAAAGATTTTCAAATTCTTTTTCAATATCAGAAACTTAACTTCTGTTACTAACCAACACCTGTCATGTTCGTTTTTCTTTCTTTCTTGTTTTTAAAATCCCCCTTAAACCGAAAAGATAATTTAAGAGAATCTTTTAAACTTGTGCTTCATAAATTAGAACTTGAGGTTGTTGTTGTCGTCTGCCATTAAGACAGAGAGGGTGCGATTGTTCTTTTTTTCCAGTGGGGCCATCTATGGCAAAGAATTCGACTTCTGCCACACCCGTTTATAAGGCGGACCCATTCATACATCCACACATCGTAATTTTGACCTGAACCAGAGAACGATCAATCTCTAAATTTGTACCCCCAGAGGTGTTGATTTGTTATGGGAACATGGAGGACTTTGTGACCCGAAAGATTTAACGTGCACCAGTCACCATTTACTGCACGGGGAGTTTTCAGCCGGCTGAATTCGAACTCCCATTCTCACAAACGTGAGTCCAGGCTATGCCGGACATACAGCTTGAGGTAAAGGGATAAAACCTTAACTTTTTAACCTGCAAAATTGAATTTACACTAAATATATAAGAGCTACAAGATTTTATGCTTAACGATGCTTTTTCACTTTAAAAAAAATCTTTAAACACGAAAAAAATTAGCAGGGAAGAGAAATACTCTGCCATTCATAGGTAGTCGCATGTAAATATTTTAGGAATAAGTTATAGGTATGTGTATAACATATGAAGAGGTCAGGAAAACATAGCGATTAAACATAATTATTTCTAAAGATGACTTTTTTTTACATCAAACTATTCCTTAGTATTTAGCCGTAAACTTCCTTGGATACAAAATTAACATAAGTTTTTCGAATTACTATTAGATATTAGCACAAACACACAGAAAATCAGTCTCCCAACTCCAACATGGAAATCGATGCTTTTCATTGAACAATTTAAAAATCATAATAATTTTAATCAATTATTTTATCGCCACATCAAGCTATTTATACAGGGTTATTCATAATTCCCTCGGGGGTTTCGAAGCGTTATAGTAAAAAAAAAAACGAATACTAATATGGCAAAAAAGAACATATGAAATTATTCCGAAAGTATTCAAGTTTTAATTTAAGCAGTTGCCGGTAGATGGCAGTAACATGTACCACTGAAGCCAGTTGTATTAAAGAAAAATGGCGCTTACAGGCGGAGGGAATTATGAATAACCCTGTATTAACATTAGTAAAGATTATTTTAGATAATTAAAGCAAATTATCATGCATAAATATTATTAATTGTAAATTTAAAGAGAGTCTTTCGAATGTAGAGTGCAGATTTGTATGGGGTGATATTATAGAGTCGATTATGATAAAATTATTGAAAAGGGAGGAGGGACTTGGTCAAACCCCAGTCGCAAAGCATTATAATAAATACCAAATTTTCAATTTTATTATTAATAAATATTAATTTTGAAAAAAAAAAGAACTATTTTTGTGGCTAAGTTCTCCAAAAAGAATAATTATAAGCGTCAGCTCCTATGATTGTTACTAAGCCATCTTTGTTTCTCATTACAAATGCAGGGGCTTGATGCAATATAATTACAAACCACAATTCAAATTGTTCAGAGGAATGCTAAAACACCAAAATGTTCATTCGGAGAATAAAATGTTTCTGCATATCTAGTGAAAATTCCAGAAACTTGTCAAGTACATATCTAAACACATTATTAAGGAAATTTTTAATGTAAAAATGTCTTTTTTTAAAAAAATATGTGACTTACCATTAAGCCCTTCAAATAAATTTTTTTAAATGAAAAAGTCATCTTTTCTTTAAATTTGATAAACGAGTTTCATTTATTAGAATGTCATAAAAATAGAATTTCCTTTTATGAATAAAAGAGCTTTATTTAATTAGAACTTTATAAAAATAAAACTTTTTGCTATGAAAATTCATTATTTTCAAACTTGATAAACGAGTTTTGATCAGAATTTCATAAAAATAGAATTTCTTTATTGAAAAAATGTTTTTTTTTTTAAACATGATAAAAGAGTTTCATTTAATTACAATTAAATGCAATGAATTAAAAGATTATGCATCTTTTAAAATAAAAAACATGTTTTTATGTTAAAGGGATTTTAGCCGGTTTTCCTTCTTTGTAATCATAGAAAATATTAAAATTAGTATTTTAATAATTTATGGTTATGATATACAGCATGAAACACCGGTGTCCGAAGTCACCGGTGTTTTACTGAGTTAAAGGTAAAATCTTCACATACTCGCTAAAGGTAGAACATAATTCACTTCCAAACAATAATTTTCCACATTTTCACTTATTTAGATCTAAGAGAAACAGTTATTAATCATTGATAAATTTCTGAATATGAATAAAAATATTTTTTAACTATTTTTTTTTGGATTTTATATATTAGTAAAAAAAATAATTCCGATAATCTAACAGATTTTAATATTTTTTAAACTGCTTTTTATAAGTAAAAAATACCCAATATATTTTTGCCTGTAATTAGAAAGTTAAAAAAATATATAAAAAAGGGATACCTGCTTCAAAGGGTTAAACGAGTTTCATAACATGGAAAGAAACCATTCATTTTGAATCAATGTCTATATATTTTAGTTAAGAGTCCTCTTATAGCATCGGTCAATCATTAACTACTTTTGTTGCCTTTAAAAATTAGAATATCATTCATATGTTTTAATAAATCAATATATTGATTCATTAAAAGTAAAGTAATAACAATCATTATAATATATAAATTTGTGAAAATAGTTTGGGAAAAGTTAGAGGTATGAATTAAATAATATTTTATATTAAAAATATATAATTATCACAGATTAACTTTAATATCTTTATAATAGTTGGGTAAAAACTAAATATCGAATAAATTCAATCAAATGTTTAATAAAAATCGAAGTTAGTGAAATGATTAATTTCAATAAATAACATTTCATAGTTAAAAACAAACAAGTTTATATTTTTTAAAATGTAATGTTTCAAATAAATTATTCTTCAAGTATTGCATTTTAAACGTATACTCACCTAACAAAGGCGAAAATAAATTCAGTTACAAAATTTATGATTGAAATTATGAGTATAAATAGAACAACAATTTCAATTGTTTCTCTGTGAAAACTTGACACGAATTAATACAATTTTTAAACAAAATCTGAAAAAATCACGACTGAAGTTGAGATCAGACAAATATTTTAAAAACATTAAAACTATTTACACAGGATAAATCACTGATTATAGCCATGCCTCTGGTCCATGTTTATCTTTTATAAGCATCATTGTATCAAGCACCGCCCCGTATTGATCGTCAGAAATTTGTTCCAAATATAAATGAGTTTTGTTAATTACTTGCAATCTGGTATATCCATAATCGAGAAACCTTACAGCACTCCATTCTTCAGGGTCTTCGACAAATGGATCCAAATTTTCTTGGCAGCCTGCGGAACCAGTTGTAATATGCACAGGTGCTTTGGGATTGGTATAAGGGGCATCATAGCTTCCATTATACACTTTGTAATCATACAAAGGCCACATTCTTTCATAGTTATGTTCATGGGCCCAGAATTCTAAATCAACACCATATTTATAAAATAAATCTTCCAAACCATATGAATGAGAGACTGGCAACCCTTTGCGAATAATACTTTCTCTGTTTTTGCAATCATCTTCAGATAATGGCTCCTTTGTGCTGCAGTACATTGGCTGGTGTCCCATGGTAATGATCCATGGGCGTTTAGCTCTGTTTTCTGGTAAATTTGCCTTTTTTAAGTCATTTTCAAGCCATTCATACTGACGAGCAATTTGCATCCAACCATAGCCAGTGAAAAAATAAAACTCGGTAGAGAAACCTATTATATGAGCAGGGCCGATATCAAAACTGTAAAAATGATTGTTTATTTCACCATCTTGATTCACCATACTAAATCGATTCACGTAATTCGAAAAATTGTATGCTTGCTCGTGATTGCCAACACACACTTGGTAGGGAAGGTAAGCAGCAACTGTTTCTATTTGTCTCATAAATTCATCTCCTATTAGTGCGTCATCCGTGTCCAAATCATATGCCATGTCTCCTACATGCAACAGTGCATCGTACATTCCTTTCTGGACGTCTTCTTGTATACGAGGAAGAGATTGAGCATTATAATTACCCAAATCCCCATAAACTACAAGTCTTGGACTCCAGTCAGTGCCTTCTTTTATAGCAGTAAACCAGTAAATAGCACTCCATCCATCTGCACTGCCACAATGGTAAACATAGTCAGTTCCTGGCTCTAAATCATCAAGAAGTACTCTGTGGACATAAAGTACTCTTGCCTTAGCTCCACCATCGACAAATTTAGTAATAGTACCAAATTTGACTTTATTCAGTGCCTTGTGAGATCTTCCATATTCTACTGTAGAAACGTTAGTTGGATCAAAAGTAACCCATGTAACCATCATTTCATTGGGAGCTTTTCCATATGATAAATGTATCTGTTCCGGTTGAATATCCAAAACAGCTAATACGAATGTTGTTGAAAAATACATACACAAAGCAAAAATCGGGCAAAGAAGTGTCATTTTACAGTTCATGTTGACACTTTCACTAGGAATATGAGAATAATAATAAACAATTCTGCTCTTGCCTTGATATGATATAAACATTAAATCTTGATAAGCAAATCACGAGGTAAAAAGGATAAAGGTCAGGTGAGACAGATAACTGTAGAAAACTTGCTAAAAAGGCGAATGTAAAAATGATGAAGATGCGTCGTAGTTCATCACATATTAATAATGGCGAACTTAATTCGAATTTAGATTGGGATTCATTGTAGTCAAGTGATAACACACCTTTAAGAGGAGCTGCATAAAATCCACAAACAAAATGTAATTCAGATTATTTTTGTCAGAAGTAGAAAGTAAAACGCCGAATTTTCTTTGCTTAAATAAAATGTCACAGCTGGTAAATCTCTTGAGCTTTTAACTCGATTAGATTGAAGCTAAGAGTTTAATGAAAACAAGAGCAGCAAAACCCTAAGTCAAAATCGAGGTAAAAACTATACATTATTTAAGGAATGAGCGTGCATATTATTTACACTTTAATATAGTATGTTTGATATCATTAGGAGTAAAGGAGTTTTTCCTTTCGATATCAATTCGTGAATAAAGCCTGAAAAAGTACATTAATTTTAGTTCTTATACCTAGAAAATTCTGTTATTCAGTTAGTCAAATAAAGTGCCTTCAATATAAATAAAAATAATCTATTGGGCGTCAAAGTGTATTAAAAAGCAACTACTACTTATCTGAAAAAAATTATAACGCAGAAATTCGATAAGGGCGAAAAATAGAATAAAAAAGTTTATCGGTCACTGATAACAATTTTATTAGGTATAATTGTGGTATTTATCAAATGGGAAAAGAAAGTGATAACGATATCGACTGCTCTCTAACGCTAGATAATAAAATAAAACCTTGCTAGATACTATATGCTTTCCAAAAATTTTATAAATTAAAAATTTTTAAAATTCATGGAAAACGTTTTTTTGATTCTATTAGCATTTACAGATAGGAAACTTTTTTTTAGAATAAATAGTCTATAATAAATAATTTTGGTAAAAAGCAATTAAAAGAGAAGATATCGGGAATCAATTCTTTCTGAAAAGCAATGTAATTTATAAACAAATATTTGAAGGAAAAAAAATCTATTCATAAATATTTTTAAACATTGTATAATGGCTTTGCTTAATTGTATTTTTGCTTGCAATTAGAAAGTCTTAAAAATATACACAAAAGGGATACCAGCGTCCCATCTGCGTCAAAGGGTTAAACAAATGTCATGAAATAGGAAGTAACCATTCATTTTGAATCAAAGTCTATATTTTTTAGTTAAGAGTCCTTTTAAAGCATCGTTCAATCATCAACTATTGAAGATTGTTGTCCATAATAAATTAGAATATTATTCATACATTTTAATAAATCAATATATTAATTTATTAAAAGTAAAGTAATAGCATTTATTATAATACATAAATTTGGTAAAGTAGTTTGGAGAAAGTTAGAGGTATGAAGTAAATTATATTTTATATTAACAATACATAATTATTGCAGATCAACTTTATAATAGTCGGGAAAAAGTGAATATTCAATAAATTCTATCAAATGTTTAATAAAAATCGAAGTTAATGAAATAATTGATTTCAATAAATAACATGAGACATTTCATAGTAAAAAACAAACAACTTTATATTTTGTAAAATGTAATGTTTCAAATAAATTATTCTTGAAGTATTGCATTTTAAACGTATACTCACCTAACAAAGGCGAAAATAAATTCAGTTACAAAATTGATGATTGAAATTATGAGTATAAATAGAACAACAATTTCAATTGTTTCTCCGTGAAAACTTGACATGAATTAATACAATTTTTAAACAAAATCTGAAAAAAATCACCGCTGAAGTTGAGGTCAGACAAATGTTTTAAAAACATTAAGAGTAAACTATTTACACAGGATAAATCACTGATTATAGCCATGCCTCTGGTCCATGCTTATCTTTTATAAGCATCATTGTATCAAGCACCGCTCCGTATTGGTCATCAGAAATTTGTTCCAAATATAAATGAGTATTGTTAATTATTTGCAATCTGGTATATCCATAATCGGGAAACCTTACAGCACTCCATTCTGCAGGGTCTTCAACAAATGGATCTAAATTTTCTTGGCAGCCTGCGGAACCAGTTGTAATATGCACAGGTGCTTTGGGATTGGTATATGGGGCATCATAGCTTCCATTATACACTTTGTAATCATACAAAGGCCACATTCTTTCATAGTTATGTTCATGGGCCCAGAATTCTAAATCAACACCATATTTATAAAATAGATCTTCTAAACCGTATAAATGAGAGATTGGCAACCCTTTGCGAATAACACTTTCTCTGTTTTTGCAATCATCTTCAGATAATGGTTCTTTTGTGCTGCAGTACATTGGCCTGTGTCCCATAGTAATGATCCAGGGTCGCTTAGCTCGGTTTTCTGGTAAATTTGCTTTCCTCAGATCATTTTCGAGCCATTCATACTGATGAGCGATCTGGACCCAACCATAATTAAACCAGAAATAAAATTCGGTTGAAAATCCTATTATATGAGCAGGACCGATATCAAAACTATAATAATGATTGTTTATTTCACCATCTTGATTCATCATACTAAATCGATTCACATAATTCGAAAAATTGTATGCTTGTTCGTGATTGCCAACACACACTTGATATGGAAGATAAGCAGCAATTGTTTCGATTTGTCTCATAAATTCATCTCCTATTAGCGCGTCATCCGTGTCTAAATTATATGCCATGTCTCCAACATGCAATAGCGCATCGTACATTCCTTTTTGAACGTCTTCTTGTACACGAGGTAGTGATTGAGCATTATAATTACCCAAATCCCCATAAACTACAAGTCTCGGACTCCAGTCAGTGCCTTCTTTTATAGCAGTGAACCAGTAAATAGCACTCCATCCATCCACACTGCCACAATGGTAAACATAGTCAGTTCCTGGCTCTAAATCATCAAGAAGTACTCTGTGGACATAAAGTACTCTTGCCTTAGCTCCACCATCGACAAATTTAGTAATAGTACCGAATTTGACTTTATTCAGTGCCTTGTGAGATCGTCCATATTCAACTGTAGAAACGTTAGTTGGATCAAAAGTAACCCATGTAACCATCATTTCATTGGGAGCTTTTCCATATGATAAATGTATTTGTTCTGGTTGAGTATCCAGAACAGCTGATACGAATGTCGTTGAAAAATACACACACAAAACAAAAATCGGGCAAAGAAGTTTCATTTTACAGCTCATGTTGTCACTTTCACTTGGAATATGAGAAGAATAATAAACAATTCTTCTCTTGCCTTGTTATAAACATTAAATCTTGATAAGCAAATCACGAGGTGAAAGGGATAAAGGTCAGGTGAGAAAGATAACTGTTAAAAACTTGCTAAAAAAACGAATGAATAAATGATTGCGTAGCTTATCACATATCAATAATGGCGAAGAGAATTCGTTTAAGTATTTAGATTGGGATCCATTGTAGTCAAGAGATAATACACCTTTAGGAGGAGCTGTATAAAATCCATAAACAAAATGAAATTCAGATTATTTTTGTCAGAATAAGAAAGTAAAACGCTGAACTTTCTTTTACTTAAATAAATGTTTGCAGGTGGCAAATCTCTTGATTAGATTGAAGGTAAGAGTTTAAAGGTACAAGAGCAGGAAAACACTGATCCAAAATTGAGGTAAAAACCTTATATTACTTAAGGAAAGAGCTTGCATATTATTTTCACTTCAATAGAGTATGTTTGATGTCATTAGGAGAAAGCGATCTTTTTCTTTCAATATCAATTTGTGAACGTTCGAACGTTTCAATATCAAAACGGGAAAAAAGAACATTAATTTTAGTTCTTATACATAGGAAATTCTGTTGTTCAGTTAGTTAACTAAAATGCCTTAAATATAAATAAAAATAATCTATTGGGCGGTAAAGTGTATTAAAAAGCAACTAATATTTATATGAGAAAATTATAACGCAGAAATTCTGATTAGGTATTTATTATATGGGAAAAGAAAGTGATAATGATATCGACTGCTCTCTAACGCTAGATAATAAAATAAAACCGTGCCAGATACCATATTTTTTTTATTAGTATTTATACATCTGAAATTTTTTTTAGAATAAATAGGAGAAATTTTTTTTTGAATAAATAGCCAATAACTAATGATTTTGGTAAAAGCAATGTAATTTTTAAACAAATATTTAAAAAAAAAAACTTATTCAGAAATATTTTTAAAAATTGTATAATGCCTTTGCTTAATTTCTTTTGTTGATAATGTATCCTAACTTATCTGTTGTTGTGGCTTATCCTCCAATACCTGAGGAAGTCAGACAAGGTTCATCAGACCGTTGACCCTAAGGAAATCGAGGACCAGAAGATGTCCTCTCTGGAAAGTCCCAAACAGTCCAGAATGTGTTTGGGAGAAGCCTGCTCAGTTTGATTTGGAGCAGATTTCGAACCATTGGAGAGACTTTTTGTGTGACCGCTTGCTAATATAGAAATTGCGCTTTTGGAAGTTCTGTAACAATTGACGGCAAATGAAGAACCCGGCTCTTTGCCCGCATACCAGTGATGGTAGGGAGGAATCTTCCACCCCTTCGAAATTTCAGAATTAACTAAGGATTGATGTTCTAGGAATTTTCATTAAGAGCAGCTTCAAGGCCTTGTTCAGTTCTTATCTTGTATAACTATTTTATGCTTTGAAGTCTTGAAGTTCAATTCTTTTGAAAACTTATTTTACCTTTTCCTGTAATAATAACAATCCAATTACAAAACAAATTATTTTTTTAAAATTTTAGTTTTGGGATGTTTAGTTTAATTAGCAATTCATAATTTTTTTAAAAATTTCTTTTCTATTCCTTAGCACTTCACTCAATTGCTTTTACTTTTTCAAAATTAAAGCCTAAAATTTTTCCAATAAAGCTTCACCCTTTCTGTTACCTTAATTATATCAGCATTTTCTTTTAATCCTTTACCTTTCCAGTTTGAAGCTATAAAAGATAATGTAAAAAATAATATACCAAACTATACTTCATATAACATCTTAGCACTCACAAGAACTAAAAATAATAGAATTTTTTATTCAACCTGCTTTGTTAAATGACAATTCATCAGCATCACTGTACTGTCCAGGCACCCGAGAACTTTTTTTTCCTCATTGATATATGCTCCCTCCAAATAGCTTTCAGGTGGTAAATCATCTTTACCCATTACCAATTATTATCCCTACTCATAAGAAATTCATTAAATGTGTAATTCTTTTTGATAATTATATGGCTCGCTCTTTTTTCTCAATGTCCTTTATCTTCCACCTTTTAATTAGTTAACCCTAAATGAGGGTATAAACATACTAATAAAGAATATTTTAAATTGTATTTCTCAATTTAACAGAGTTAACAGAATTGTCCCCTACAAGAGATTCCACCGCACTAAAATAAAATTTACATCCATTTAATGAAAAAACAAAGTGATTTTTGGACTAATTTGCATTACATAAAAAATCACTGACAGAAATAAGTGCATAGAAAAGAAGTACCGTTGATATTTTTAAGAAAGATGCCCCATCCATTAAAATAACCAATATAAAGTCCGTTCTCTTATAATATAAAAGAGTTATTAACCATTAGAACATCTAAAATCCATGGTTCTTTCTTATTATAGGGTTTTTAATACGCGGCTATTAGGTTTAAAATTACACATCCACTATCATTCAAAATTTCTTTTCTTATGGAGCAATAAATATATTAGTAATCATATTTATCTTGTTTGGAATTTAACACACTAATATTTTTTGTGAAACGTTAATCTTACTTGGGAAAGTTTATGTTCGAATTATAATAATCAATTTGATTTAGTTTCTGCACAGACATCGAAAATACATGAAATGTTATTTAAGGTTGCCAATAATGGGCTTTGCATTATTATATAATTAAAAAAATTCCCATTTGATTTTGAATGATTGATTCTTTTATTTGAGGGTGAATTGAAACTATCATTCATTGAATGTAAAGAGATTCTAAAAAAGGAATTCAATACTATAAAGAACCCCATTTTATTATCCCAGATTTTAGCAAAGCCAAAAGAAACTGGAATTTTTTTTCTTTTGGTGTTAGGCACTTAAAAAAAAAAAAAAAAACAGTTTATAATTTAATTTTTGTATTAATAAAAAATATTGTTAATAACAGTGATGTCAGAGCAATAAGAAGTAATTTTGCGTTTTCATAACAGTTTGGAACAAAAGCCTTAAATATTTGTATCCTAAGTAACTACTTATTTTAATTTTTAACTACTTTTTCAAGAAAATATATTATTTTGAAATCCAGCTCAATATTAAGAGGAAATGCTTGATTTGCAGAAGCTCAAACACGAGTTTTGGAAACTATTTATTCTGGAGCAGTTTAAAGCACAGGTAGTGTCACATATACACTTAATGTAATGTGACAATTTTATTTCTAATTTTACTTAAGCCCTTAATTTTTCTTTAAACGCTATTCCTTTTTTTTCAATTTAGCAATCTTTTATTACTTTCTTGTTGACCTTTCTCATGGTCATTGCACTTCCTGTGGGGAAAGTCAACCAACCCCTCTATTCACGCCTTTCTTTTAATTTTAGGGGGGCTAACAAACCAATCTCTTTCCTTTAAATTTCAAACTCTCCGCCTCTTTTAATTTAATTGGCCGTAATTTTCTGGTCCTATACCAGTTAAGGAATTTTTAAGTCTTTTTAAATACATTCTCTTTTTCTCGAGCCTTCGGGCAGGTTACCTTTTTTTAAATTCTCCGAGATGCGGACTTCGGTCCGTATCGAGGGATTTCTTTTTACATTTTTTTTTCTTAACCTTTATTTTAAATTAAATCCATAGCTGTAATCAATTTCTGTAAAATTTAAAATCAACATGTTATACCTTTAATTTTCTTTAACATTAAAAGCCCTCTCAAATTTAAGTTTTCTTTTCATATTTACTTTAACGGTTAAATTAATCGTTCTTTTATATTTAACTTTATGCCTGACGCCTTTGGTTTCTTTAAATTCTCTTGTCACCCCTTTCCTTCTAAAAGATATATTTTTTCTGTGCCACAAAATGTGTTGCAATCATATTGTTTGTTTGTTACGAAAAGTAGTTTTACAAAAATAAATGTTTAGTTGAACAGAAAGTTTGGTGTGATTGTTTTTTTAGCTTTACCTTTATAGCTATTAGTTATCACCTTTTTTCCTTCTGTATGTGGTGAGTACTTTTTTTTATTGTTATGGGCATGCATAAATGTGAATTTATTAGTTTTTCTTATTGGAAACATCAGCTTACTGTATTAAATCATATATATATTTTGGATATAGCATGACTTTACCTTATTTATCTTTAATATTTAATTTATTTTAGTTTCGCCCTTTTTCCAAATTTGGTGATACCAAATCATCCAATTTGTTCAAACCTCACACTTTGTGACCCTTTGAACCTATTGGGTTATTGTTATCCCACATTAGCATTGTACAACCACCTTCCTTAACGATCACATTCCCCTTAATTTAATTTAATTACTCTTTCATATGTTTCGGCCTTTTATTTATTCATCATGACATTTCGATCATTTAACTTTTTTTTTATCATGACTATATCCAAATACAAGTACTTTACCAATGATTTCAACCCATCTATCAATTTTATTACATAAATAACTTTATCTTATACGCACCAAAATATATAATTTAAATTAAACTCTTACAGGTAGGATGAATTGGAAAGTGATTAAAATATTTTTCAAACAAGTTTGGGTAAAAATGTCTGGCTGTGAAGTAAATAGAGTGAATTAAAACAGCAGTTACATCACAAGAATTAATTACATTTATGTTATTTAAGAAACAAATACTCAAAAAACTAAAAAAAATAAAAATAAACTTCAATTTTGTTAAAAAAAAGAAGAAAAAACTCAACAAATTTGATTTTGTTCCAAAGGACATTTTTCTACTCTAACAAATTTGAGTAGNGCTCAATATTAGAGGAAATGCTTGATTTGCAAAAACTAAAAAAAATAAAAATAAACTTCAATTTTGTTAAAAAAAAGAAGAAAAAAAAACTCAACAAATTTGATTTTGTTCCAAAGGACATTTTTCTACTCTAACAAATTTGAGTAGAAAAATGGCCATTATGACAAAGTTATTCTTTACAGTAACACTTTAAACAAATAAAAAGGCAGTTTTGCTTTAATGTACTAAACTATAAAAAGAAAAGTAATAAATTTTTACTTGCTTATCGAAAATAATTCTACAATTTAAAAAAAATATTAAACTTAACCAGTTTTATGTTACACAGCATAATCATAATATTTCTCTACACCATGTTTATAATTTAAGAAAATAATTGTGAAAATTCTAAAGTTGAGGACATGAAAATATCCTTAATACATAGTAGTAGTGTCCAACTCATAGAGATTGCTTCGTTGCATTAGTTATTACACTAAGATACCATAGTTTGTTGTAATATAAGATGTATGATGCTGAATTTTGAATAAGTTTCATAGCAAATTGTAATTACACATTTTTTACTAAACAGTCATTAATAAAATAATTTCAAATATATGTATGTTAAATTTGAATAGTTCGATATCAAATAGAAAGAGCCAATAGAACCTGACTGAAAATGGCAACATTTTGCAACAATGAATAAATGTTTTGTCAACAAAAATAATGAACAAAACTAGTCCGACACAAATTGTATGTTTCATAATTTAAAATGATAAGAAACTAAATCATAAGTATTTGTGAAGTAAATCAATAGTCTCTTGAAGATTAAAGAACTTCATTTTATTTATAGTATGGATCTTTTCAAACAATAGATAGATCTTTACAAATAACAGATCATTAAGAGTAAAATAAACAAATACATCTACGAATCATATTATATCAAGTCAGCTAATGTAAAGCTTAGAAATGCAAACATAAGATTCTTACTTAATGCCTTCATTTAAATGTTTCACAGATTTAATTTATAACTAATTAATAAAGCTTCCAAAATACAAAATTGATTTCAGGTGTTAGTTTTAAGAGACTTTAGATAGTGTAATACTCAATAAGTTAAATCGAAATTGCAATGTTTAAATTTGGTTGAGAAACATTAATTTTTTTTAAACCTAAAAGGATGCAATAATGATTTTATGATGCAATTAGAGGAAAACCAAACTAGTTAGAACTTTAAGTATAATTTTTTTAAGTCATAATAATGATATAAAATGTAAATACAATCTTACCCATTATTCTGAAATAAAATGAAAAATTATAGTTAAAATCATGCTTTCTAGAAAAATTCTAACACAGCATAAAAGCATTGAAATTATTTAATAAGGAAAAGTAAAACTCTAGTAAATATACATTAAAAATTATCCATAAAGTTGAATTCCTAAACTTAAAATATTGTTTTGATTTGATTCTGTCTTCATGGGTAATTCATCAAACAAACACTTACAGGGGTCTGTTCAGACATTTTGTGAAAGGTCCTGTGTTTGTAAAATTGTGAAAAAACTACTCATAATTCGTGAATATAAAATAAGCGTTAAGTCACATTCTTTCTACCAGGGTCCTGCTTTTGTGAATTTGTGCAAATAGGGTCCTGTTATTGCAAAAATTGCTAAAAATCTTTTCAAGAAGTTTTTAAATTGTAAATAGATACAAGATTATGCTCAACAATTGCTGCTACTAAATTAGTGATGTAACATACAATTATTTGGTATTTAGCGTATACTGCTCAACACAGAATATTCATTTCGGACGAATAATGTGTGTGTTGGAAACAAAATCACTCACATTTTCAATTTCAATTGACATATTTTAAATAACACAACTTAGTTATATATCACTTTTAATATGTTATGCATTAAGTAAACTTAAACAATTTGTAAATTTATAATATTTTATTTAAAAAATTGCCAAAGATTAAGCTTTATTTACATAATATTCTATTAATTAATTTTATGAATAAATATAAATTGATAATTATTTATTTACAAAAAGAAAAATTATCATTTAATATCAATAAGAATGTGCACACGATGTTTGTAAAAGTAGAAATATTTTCTTAGAATACTACATTTGGAATTTAAACGTAGGTAAACTTAGTTTGTTTTGAACCATCTTTCTTTCTTTTTGCCCCCCATCCCCGGGAAGGGTTTATTCGATTAACAAAACAACAATGGAGATAAACAAATTTGTGAAGGGTCCGACTAAAAGATAAATTATTTTGTGAAGGGTCCGTTAACGAACCCAAATTTTTTCTAAACAGACCCCTGACTTATATCTACAAAAAACTTTTAATAATTGTCAAATTAATATAAAGTAGGAGCCATACAAGTTTATTTTTTGATGATTTTCGACGCTCTTGTCAGAAAAAATAAGTAAATCACACAATGGTTATACAATCAACCTATGCTTACACAGTCATATTCTTAAATAAAAATCTAATTTTCAACTTCAAATATCATTTCAAAATTTAAATATTTCTGCAATTTACAGAGAATTTTTATCTTCTGTAGATAAAGGGAATTTAGCATCACTATTTTTCAAATTACCGTTTCCTTGTCACTGGCAATTGCAACCGGTGACAAGATAATTGCAACCGGTTTTCTAGATACTACTTTTTTAATATTTGAATGGCTCCTATTGCATGCATAAGTATATATATATATATTAACACAAAAACAAATTTTTTTTTACATAATCAATATATTAAAAATAGTTGACAAATAATTAAAAGTAAAAAATTTATGATAAGTAAATGTAGAAATATAAAGCTAAAGTGAGATTCGGCCAGCAATAAATCACATATTTTAAAGAAAAAAAGATAGATCACAGACATAATTAATGAGAGAGATAGCAGTATGTAATAAAATTTCAATTGTTTGTTTATAACCATGCATCAGGACCATGCCTATCTTTGATTAGCAACATTTTATCCAGTACAATACCATCCTGATCATCAGATACTTGCTCCATGTATAAATGCGTATTATTAATGATATTAAACCTAGTGTAACCATAGTCAGAAAATCTTGCAGCACTCCATTCTGCAGGGTTGTCAACAAATGGATCTAAATTTTCTTGGCACCCAGCAGAACCTGTAATAATATGCACCGGAGCTTTTGGATTAGTGTAAGGTGCATCAAGGCTTCCATTATACACTTTGTAATCATAGATGGGCCACAGCCTTTCATATAAATGTTCATGAGCCCATAATTCCAAGTCAACACCATATTTGTAAAATAGATCTTCCAAACCATAAGCATGAGCAATGGGTAACCCTTTTCGAATGATACTTTCCCTATTTTTACAGTCATCTGTATCATTGGTGCTACAATACATAGGTCTGTGTCCCATTGTAATAATCCATGGGCGTTTAGCTCTGTTTTCTGGTAAATTTGCCTTTTTCAAATCATTTTCAAGCCATTCATACTGACGAGCAATTTGTATCCAACCGTATTTAACGTAAAAATAAAACTCGGTAGAGAAAGCAATTATATGAGCGGGGCCGAGATCAAAACTGTAAAAATTATTGTTTATTTCACCATCTTGATTAACCATACTAAATCGATTAACGTAATTAGAAAAATTGTATGCTTGTTCGTGATTGCCAACACACACTTGGTAGGGAAGGTAAGCAGCAATTGTTTCTATTTGCCTCATAAATTCATCACCTATTGTTGCATTTTCTGAGTCTAAATTGTAAGCCATGTCTCCTACATGCAAAAGAGCATCGTACATTCCTTTCTGAACTTCTTCTTGGATTCGTGGCAAAGATTGAGCATTATAATTACCCAAATCCCCATAAACAACAAGTCTTGGGCTCCAATTTGTACCATTTTGCATAGCTGTAAACCAATAAACAGCACTCCAACCATCTGTACTACCACAGTGGTACATGTATTCAGAACCAGGAACTAAATCATCAAGTAAAACTCTATGTATCCAAAGTACTCGAGCACTTGATCCACCATCGACAAACTTTGTCACAGTACCAAATTTAATTTTATTCAATTTACTAGGAGCCTGTCCATATTCGACAGTGGATTTGCTTGTAGGGTCAAAAGTAACCCATGTAACAACCATTTCATTAGGAGATTTCCCAAATGATATATGCACTTGTTCAGGTTGAGTATTTAAAACAGCCAAGACAAGAGTGACGCAAAAATAAAAGAAGAAAGCAAAAAATGAAAATTTTATTTTGAACTCCATACTTTAGCAATTTTAAAGCGATGCTTAAAACAAAACGATGCTGCTCTTATGTTTGCTTATAAATATTTCTCCAGAGCTGTTACGTCAAAGATCATGATAAACAGATGATCACGAGGTATGTATGATAGAAGAAAGGAAATGAGATAAAAGTTCATTGAATGAAAGAAGGTGTATGTATGAATGAATAATTAATACTAAGAATTCAAATATATAGAAAAGTATAACGATGAAGACTTTTCTTAGATATGTGGCCTTATTTATGAGAAATTTTATAGCATAGTGTTACCTAATTTCCATATGAATATTTGCGAAACTGACAATAAAGGAGATGACATATAACATTCCTGACACACTTGTTCATGAATTTGTTTATATTTTGATTTTGAAGCTTTAGTGACAGTTAAGAGTAAGTTTTGCTTCATTATTGTTAGGAGGATGAAACTTAGAAACCGTTTCTACTGCTTCTATATCACCCGTGATGATTCGTGCATGCGCGTGCAGCGGATATTTCAAGTAATTTCTAAACATTCGCGTGCGTGACAAGGCCGTTTGGAGCCCAGAGAGTATAATTCTATCCTGCACCTCCGTAAAGGTATCTTTCAATAATATTGTCTTCGTGGAAATAGGTATCTGACGTTCTTCATGTAGAATTCCGAGGTGAATCAGAGTGCAAGTTGAACTTGGACACGTTAAAAAACATCACACATGCTAACTGGGACCTTCATATTGCGTGCCCTCATTTCATGTTTTTTACTCTAGGTAAATCGAGGTGATAGCGAGTTTCCTAGAGCGGAAATCTGAAAGGCCGGCGAGAAAATGGACCAAAATTTCCCAAACGCACGGTACACGATTTGCCTTGAAAGTGTGGTACCGATGACTGCAGATAATTGAAGAGATAGGCGGAAGCTATGCTCCGTCTTCTTCCTTCTGCAGTTGTCCCGCAGTGGACTGATCGTTAAGACACGGTTCCCAGCAGATCACCGAAGTCGAGCATCACTGGCTACGGTCAGTGTGAGGGTGGGTGACCACTTGGATCAGTCTGCGTAGGGACCGAGGGTGTGCGGTATTGGTCCTCGTTAAACTGTGCTACCGTAAAGTGCTCGACCTCGCGCGCAGGTCGTCGGGCTACCGAAGCGGGAGTATCATCCCCTCCGCAGAGGATCAAAATTGTGATGGCATGTCTTCGGATCATCCTCCGGGATGTTTCCCAGACCGTCGCCAATAGCCCATTGTGCAGCTCTAGTGCAACGTAAATTAACAACAACAACCTTCTGCAGTTAACGCCGATTACTGGTCTTCATTTGGTATTGTAACTCAAGGTGACCTGTACTGTAATGTGAACTGAAATTGTGATCATTATAGAATCGTTAATCAAGCCTAGTAGAGATGACACTTTGGGCAATAGTAAGCTTCTTGGATACTTCCATCTGAGTACGCCAGAGTTCCTGCCGGCTGATTATTCAACAACGTAAAAAATCATCCAAATGCGTCTTCTGTATCATAAATATCCGGTTAAGGCAATGAGCAGTTTACACAATGCTTGCGAACAATTTTACTTCTTTGCTACCATTCCTTACAAACCTTTTGTTGTCTCGTTATTGTGACGTACTATCTAGCTTAGTGTAATTTAATTTGCATATTATTCTTGAAGATATGCTTGATAGTTTAGAATTTTCACTGTGGAGTTCAATTTCCGTGTGATTCTGAATTATCCTTAATTTATGGAGATAAGTGTTTACTTTTAATAAAGTAAAAATAAAGTAAATCCTTTTAAATTAAACGTTTTTATATTATAAAAATTATGCTTTTTATTTAATGCCTTTAATATATTTTAATTTTGTATGAATAGTTGTTGCATCTTTTCATTTTAATTTAATAAAATGTAAGAAAAGCATTGTAATAAAACTTTGCAAAACTTGTTCTTTAGTTAATAAAATTTCAAAATTTTAGCAAAAATACAATCAAATTAAGGGAACAAAAACTATTTTCAGATATTTTTTCCTGACTAAGAACTTTAACTTATTATTTATAGTTAATTTTAAGAAAAAAAAATTATTATTTAAATTGAAATTGAATTTACAAGTATATCTTAAGATTTAAAAATATTTTTTATGCACAATTTGCGTTACTAAAATATTTTTGTTTTAAGCAGTTGATAGATCTATATGAAGTAAAACTTCCAATTTTATATCGTAACTTGCTTTTACATTGATACCTATTAAAAAAAGTAAGAAAATCTTATTTTCCTTGTCACAAATAATTTATTATTTTTACCCTAGCAGTAAAATAACTTGGGTCCCCATTGCCCCAATATTCCGAAATTTTAGCTCAATTAGGGCCGTTATTTTCCGATATTTGCCCTATATAGAGTTGACTGATTCACCCGATATTTTACAACCAATGTATATAGAATTGTTAGATTCAAACAATATTTTATATTCATTATTCAGCTAATATGAGCCCTATATTGGCCCCCTATATAAGACCAATATTAAAAAAACTATGCATCCAATATTGGTCCCTCGGTGCATGTTCATATAGGACCTATATTGAGTCAATTTTGAGTCCAGCTGGGACCAGGGTGAAATTGTTGCTAGGGTGAATATAACAAACACCATATGAAAAAAGTGTGACTTCAGAAAAAGGTAGAGTAACGAATATTACGTTTAAGATAATGGAGCGTGGTGACCTGTTTGATATCCTATGGGATGTATTTTAGATATCCAAATTTGTAGAAAATCTTAATTTAGTGGAAAAAAATTCTTTTTATATCGAAATTGTGGTGGACATGTCAGTGGTATAAAAAGATATTTACTATATTTTCTTCAAGTAAGAAATGAACATTTATTTTATTGTCATCCGTAGATGGCGGCACCAGTTGCTCTAGCATCGTAGAATCTTTAACTTATTTCAATCGAAGATATTGGTCTACACTGTAAAAGTTTCCTCTATAGTTTGCTTTTTACTTCAATAAAAAAGGCAAGAGCAACTTTAATGACTCGTGAGTCGTATAAAAATCGAGTTTTATAAATTATATTTTTTTAAAGGAACAAAATAAAAGTTTTAATCAAAATTCTTTACTTCTTTATGACTGTCACTGGATGGCAGCATCAGTATGGGAAGACAGGCTTGTATTAAATAATACATACGTTTTCAAATGTCGAGTGGTGCCTCTTTATCCTTCACTTTGCAATTTTGACTGTGTGGAGGGGGGAGAGAGGTTTGTTGGTCTTCGGCAAGGATTGTATCATTTGCAAAGAATATCCTACCACTGCCCAAGAGTTCTTGGGCAGTGGTAGGGTATTCTAACCACCATTGCAAGAGGTGTGCACCTCTGATAAAGGTAAGTTAATTAGTTTCATATAGAAGTCGTGGCACGCTTTTCCTCATGTGATCGAGAAAATTTGACACCATATCAGTCGTGAGTATTTTAAGAGAATGAGAATGAATTGTTTGAGAACTAAGTGATTTAGTTAAATCAAGTCAAACCATCAAATTAAGAAAAGTTTCGATAAAATGGGTGTACGGGGTGCACCACAAACAGGGCTAGTTATAAGAAGCTTTATCAAGTTGTATCTGCAATAAGAATTAAGACTGAGCGTGGCTTCTCATATTCTAAAAAGCTGTATGATTGTAAAATGAGCATTCAACTTTTACAGGTTATTCCAGTTATCCTTATTATATAATTTATAATCTTTATAAATTACGTTGGGGGGATGCAATACATTTAAGCTAGGGGAAAACGAAAATAATATCAAAATCCCTAAATTCACTACCATAGAAGTTGAGGATTAAAAAGCATTTTAACTTATTTGATTGTCTGAGATAATGGCGAGAAGCAAAATGGAGATAATTAGTAACATTTGAAGGAATGATCACATAGGTTTTAATTTTTCTACAAAAGTGTTCCTCACTAATGATTTGTCAGATTTCGAGAGCGATTTTCTTTATAACCCACAATGTGTGTATTTTTTTTTGTCTTCATCTTAGACTAGAATACTAAAAATGTATAAAAGGTGGCCTTTATAAAAGAGGCTAAGAAAATATAAGTTGTCATTGATATCTTTAATGTTTTACGGGCCTTTTTCATTTTGGGCACTCTGCATTAAGGGATGTGATTATGGATTTCATAGTAATTCAGAATACTGGTGAAAATTACAGTGGTACCTAGCACACCTTTATATACTACAACATGTTGTTTAAGCATACGAGTTTCTGTGTCTTCAGAAAACATTCCGATATAAAAATCCTGTAGAAGCATTATCAATGATTTCATCATCAACTCAAATTGACTGGTGAGCATCAGTTTAAGTATTTCAAAGATTTAAATCAAAGTGAATTTTTAAATAGTTATTGTCAGGGCCCGACTTAGCCTAATTGGGGTCCGGGGTAAAAACTTCTTTGGGGGCCCCCCTCTGCTTCACTACTTCAGTAATGAAGAACCGGACTTTATGGAGGTACAGTCGGGCCCCGATTTAACGAACCTCTATTTAACGAATTTCGCGATTTAACGAATTTTTTCCCCACCCCAGCAAAAACAGTGTCAAAAACCCCTAATTAATGAATAATTAACCCCGAATTAACGAATTATTTCAGCATCCGTAAAAAAATTTTTTCATTAATTTTGATCAGAAAAATATTGCATTTTTTTGTAATTGGCAGATTCTAAAGGGAAAAAAAACTTTCCTGGGAGGAATAAAATAGAAAAAGTGCATATTCGTCTCAAACAAAAGAAAAGCCGGCAACATGGAAAAACAAATTCGTCGTGGGTAGGTGGGCAGAGTCAATAAGACATTACACTTGCAAGGTCATTTTCCGGGGGTTTGTCACGTGGACTATGAGTCAAACAGGAAATTCCTTTCTTATCTTAGATAGTCGTTTATAACTAGTAATTTTTAATAATACATATGTACAAGAAACAATTTTTTTGAACTCCGATTTTACGAATGACCCCGATTTAACGAATAAAATTTCCGGTCCCGATGAATTTGTTAAATCGGGGTCCGACTGTATTTAAATTTTTCACCACGCTATAGATATATAACAAGAAATTGACTACAAGCTAAAATAGCTATAAATTCCCCCTCCCCTTTTCAATGGTCAGACGAAATATCATTCAGTCCATTTTACTGATTTTCAGACAATTTCATATCCATCCTTAAAAGGATATAGTACATCTCGAGAGCCTAAATTTGACAAAAATGCTATTTAAACTTATAAATAGAAAATGTAAAGCAATGTTATTTTAACTAATATATTATTTTCTTTCCATTAACTGAATTAAAGATGCATAAAACATTCAACAATAAGATAACTGATTGTTAACTTTGTCAACTAGCAGTGAAAAATTCGTATCCTCGCTATCATAAGGGCGGAATTCAGATACATTTTCGCAATTACGATGGCTCAATTAAGCCATTCAGATGCCCGTATTTTTGTAAACATATCATATTTCGCGATATGTAAAAACCAGGCTTTTGATTGGCCAAATTTGTTCATCATAATTGCGAAAATTTAGCTGAATTCTGCACTAGAAAGCCATGGATTTACGAATTATAGATTTTTTGTGTTCATACGATAGATTAATAAAGAAGCTAACGTAAAACTAACGGATTTTACATTGTACTGATATTTAGTTTAAAAAAAGTTCATTAAAGAAGGAAATAAACGCAAAATAAACTTTCTATTTGATTTAGGGGTCTCTCTCTGATGTGGGGGACCGGGGCAACTGCCCCGCATGGTCCTGCCTTAGTCAAGCTCTGGTTATTGTACGTACGTCTTAAATAGTAATGTGCGTTGTAAAAAATACATTATAAAAGGATTTGAAACTTTTTGGATTTAATTACGTGTGCGAAAGTATTTTAAAATATTTTGCTACTTTTAAGGTGTATTGTGGATGCAATAATGTAATAGAAATAAGCAGATCCATTTTACAAAACTTCAAAATTTTATTACAAAATAGCATTAAAAGACATGTTATTGCTTTCATTTATATTTTAGTGACTTGTAAAAACATAGTTTAAAATAAACAGTTTGAAACGACTTCATACTAGCATCATAAAACCGGATAAAGAACAATAAAACCTTAGCCACAATGACTAGAAAACCAAGAAACCAACCATAGTTTACAAGACAATTTAACATCAGAATTTCAAAATTTCCAATTTAAAGAATTACGAAAATAAACTAACATTGAAATAATTATATGAAAGAAAAAACTTGAAGGATTTGTTAAAAAAATAACTTTAAGCACCATGAACAATTTAAAAAAATAGGAAGAAATGAGGATCAAGTTTTTGTTAAATGCACAATTGTAGAAAAAATAAAATTTGAATTAAAAAAAAATACTTTTTCTTTAAAATTCTTAAAACTAAAAATTGTAAAATCTAAAAATATAAATATATCTATTTAATCCTATTATATAATTTGAAACAACAGGATGAAAGTGCGATATAATAGGATTTATAAAAATGTATGTTTTAAAAAAATTTACATACTGGATATTATTTATTTTTCATATGCATACATATGCTTCGGAGATTTGTATAAAATATGGCAGTGTACAATTTAATCAATAAAAGCAACCTCTCAAAAGTAAACTAAAATCGCAAGCACTAGTTGGGTTATGAATCAGTCGTTTAAATAAATTGATTCAAATAATCAAAATGATGCATTGATTGGAACGTTTTGGCATTTATCGATTTTTTTGATACGTTGATAAGTTGATTTAAATCAACGTATTCAAGTGAATTTTGAGATAAACTGATTGCAATGGTGATCGGAAATGGTTGTAATAATGGGAATCATGATTTTTAGTACATAAAATCTGTTTGACAATGCGTGATGCGGGGAAGACTCTTAACTATTTTTTTTTGTTATCTAACGTACCTCACTCGTCGTAATCAGAAAATTGGTTTAACAGGTTCTATTACGTAATGAGTTCTGCCTGTTTTTGTCTGAGGAAGACGATCTCAGTCTTCATGGGAAGCGGCATCTTTTGACGTTGAACAAGATTCAAATAAATATTTATGCTTTATCTGAATGGTTGGTTAACAGTTAACTTTTTTACGTCACGTCTTCATGGGAAGCGGCATCTTTTGACGTTGAACAAGATTCAAATAAATATTTATGCTTTATCTGAATGGTTGGTTAACAGTTAACTTTTTTACGTCCCGTTCTGGGTTCATCATTTTAATCCTGGAGTACTTCTTGTATAACTATGAATAAAACTGATAATTCGGCATGTTTGAAGAGCTTTGATGATTCATTTAGCCTAACACTAGTAAGTATAAAATGATACTGATTCTAACTGGAATTTTACATACAATTTCCATTTTTTTAAACACACTAATAAAAGCACACAAAGATAAAAAAAAATAAGTAGAGGAGGTTTCAACGAATATAAGAATACAATAAAACATGATGCCAGGCGAAAATATTGTTCTTGAATAGCTGCCACTGAATGCAACATTTATAAAATGCTGTAATCATTTATATATAAGCACCAGAACTAACTTTATCAAATAAAAGGGTATAGAAATATATGTTAAATGCTGTAGAAAAAAAGTAGTTTCAAATGTTTCTTTTAAATGCTATGATAAAATGTGGTTAATTAATCATACATACATTTGTTAATAGCGATTCTCTTGTAAATCTCACTCAGGGATTTTAATATTGACCACTCATAGTATATATTTTTAGAATCTTTGTCAAAAAAAAGGCAAAAAAGTAGTTATATAAAGGGTCACATTAGGTTGAAAAATACAAATATTTATTGGATTTAATAAATCACTATTGAGGAGGGAATGGAAGTATAAAAACCATTTTTATTGACTGCTGAAAAAGAGAGGCTTTAAAAGGGGATTGTTAAGAAAAACCTCGAATTTTCTTACAGCAGTCAAATTGATTGTGATCTTTCCATCTTCCTCACGAGATAGTCAGCCGATTTCGATACCCTTTTTATCATATCCTAGTTTGAATAACTTGCTTCCTTTACTATAAATATTTTTCTTGATGACATTTTTGACAAAAATTTAAAAATATGTTAAGAGAAGTCATTACAGAAAGACCCATACATTAAATTACTTGTTAGTAGTATTCATTTTTTTTTAAACATTTCAGATTTCGTAATGTCATTTTGATAGAAAATTATCAATATTTTGCTCTATTACCCATAAAATAATTATAATAATTACAATTGATAACAAATAACATTATTTATGAAGAGTTTGCAAATAATCGAAACTATAATAAAACTTTTAGAGGAAAGATTTCACCAGATAAAATCATAAATGCAAATTGCATTTCATTTTTGTTGAGAATATTTAAATTAGCAAAAGTGAAACCAATAGAATTTGTTTTAATTTTAAATAATACTTGGCTAGTAAAATTCATACTCGCATAAAGCAACAGCTCTATAGTTTTTTAGGTATTTGTATATACATTATGTACTCAGAATGTCTCGAAAGTATTGGGGCAAGAATGATAGGGTCTAACATAAAGTTCGAGAAATGCATAGCAACTCATGACCAGAAATGTTATTGTAACCTGATAATTCGTGCTTTGCATCTTACTTCTCTTCATCTTTTATAATGCTATTGTGCAACTAGCAACACTGTGTAGTTGCTGATATATGTTGCCTTCACCTTGTTTCATATATCTTTGATTTCTTTCTGCGAGGAGCTTTAAAAGCAATTGTGATCAAGAGCTTGAGGAGTCAGGAATCTCGGGACATGATTCATCAAAGAAATTCCTGATGTGCGGCTATCAGTTCTCCATTGTTGCCAGCTATGCATAGCGTCTGATTTTGCAACCAATGAACATATTCAGTGGCATCACGAACTGCTGTCTTCTAGTAGGCGATCAGAACACATAGTGTTCAATAATTGTTTTCCATTAATCACTATAAATTTTTTTTTCAAAATTTCTACATCTGCTACCCTTTTCCCTAGACTTTTCTGATAATGAGTTGCTATGTAATTCTAAATTATTATGATGAGAATCTTTTACCTCTTCTGAAAATTTTCTGCAACATTTTAGAGACACTTAGTAAAATTTGTAAAGAAATTCTTGAAAAAAATAATACCCACGCATTGATTGTAATTGAAATCAAATGAGAATAAAACAATTTATTCAACAAAATCAATGCAATTTACTTTTCATTTAAAGATAGTACCAACAGTTTGATATTTTGTTTACTAAGAAATTCAGCAAAACAACTTAATTTAAAAAAAAAAAAAATTGTTTTCAACAGAATAAGATTTTAAATAAATTATAACTTTCTTTTATACAGTTAAACTTCATATATTACAAACGGTTAATCTCTCATTTTATGTCAGTAATCGAAGCGACAACATTTAATGTGTTAAAAAAAGCTATGAATTATTATCTTCATCTCTTCCAGTCTACAATATCAGTCTCTGTAATGGATTTGATTTCCTCTCTCTCGCCTATACTAGAAACTCTATCAATAGCTCTGGTTATAGGCGAATCAATAATAACTTCAGATCTTGAAAATTTTCCTTTTTGGCGAAGTTCCTGAACGACATTGTCCATTCGCCGCTCAGTTACTGACGAAACTTCGGTTGAAGATTGTCTTAAATCAGGCATAGACATTCTAGGAATATCTTCGAAATATTCCGTAGAGGATCTCTCCAGGAAACGTGGCCTTACTGGCTTTTGTGGAGCAGATGTGGATGGTAAAGCTTCTTTGTGTAAGAAGTCACCTTCGCCAAACTCGGTGTGGGGAGAGTCTTTCATGTGAGAATTATTGGTTCTCACGAAACCAGCTGATGATTGTTCAGCATAGTAGTGTGATTGTTGATGAACTCCCCTATATTGTGGGGATCGTTCAGCAACAATCGTTGGCACATCTTCCAGGAACTCGGAGGTAGATCTCTCAGCTAAACTTTTCGAAGTTTTATATGTATATCCAGTATCAACGCTCCAAAGGGATTCTCTATCCGCATGCGCAAAGTCGACGTCGACTTCTGTCATAGATCGGAGATCATATTCAGGTACGGAACCAGATCTAGAAGTTCTTCGCGATCGGATGCTTCCACTAATCGAAGGTGGGGCATCGCGAGCTAATGAGAATTCGGTTACAGGTGGTAAAGAACTGCGTCGATTTCGAGGTGGCTCAAATTCGCTCTTTTTCTTATAACGGGGGTTTCTTCCGTCTCCAGGTGGCTCATTTTGAACAGGAGGATACCTTTCGTCTGGTGTACTCAGAGCCCTTATAATGACGTGCCAGGTTCGAGTGTCGAAAAGTTTCTCGTATCGGGAATCTTTTGTAATACGAATGTATTCTTCTACTGTCGTTGCTTCCTGCACAAGATATCGGAATGTTTCATCAGTTGTAATTACCGTGCGCCATCTTTCCTTAATGTGCGGAGTAAGCTGATCAACACCTTCCACGGGTGGGGGTTCAAGAACTTTGTAAATTATACTCGTGTAAGTAGGATGCGGAATTTTTTGTGGAACCCTATTCAATGTGTTGTACGGGGACTGTGAATTCCTTGGAGTAGTGGATGTTGAATGCTCTGATAGATGACGTGGTCTCCTATGAGCAGGGATTTCTGTTGTCGTACTTTCAGCGTCTCTGAATTTTTCGCTTATTTCGGAGTATGCATCCCAGCGGCGTTCAGAAATTTTGTCATCATAATCTGGAAAATCAGGTTGAGATTCGTGGGGGTAATGTCTTATTCTTACATCGAATGTTGAGGGTGGTGTTTCAGAAGAGGGAGGTTCCGTTGATTGCGGAGGAGATTTAACATGCTGAGCAATGGTGTCTTTTGTTGTTTTCGTGACTGTTTCTGTAGCATGAACTTCTGTTGTTGTTGTTAAGTATAGATCATCAATATTTTGAACAATTATTTTAGGCTTTCTAGGAACTAAGGCCTTTGACACATATGTTTCCACACTTTCCATTTCTGGAGGTGATTCAGGTTGAGGTTTTGGCTTGTGTTGTAAGGTGGTAGTTTTTCTTACATTCATCACGTCATCTTCTATTTCGGTTATATTTTGAGAACTCAAGAAATAATCACTAACTGTTGCTGTTTCTCTTTTGGGTTTTCTTACATACGGTACAACAGCAACTTCACTCTCCAACTCGGAATGAGACCAGATATCGTTATCTGGAATGCTTCCTTTGAGTGATGGGGCATATGAGGAAGGAGGTCTCTGAATAGCCATTGGTACGTCTTCAATAAATTCTGCTTGTGAGCGATTATCATTATCAGGAATACTTCCATATAGAGATGGCGCATAAGAAGAGGGTGGCTTAGGGGGAGCTTCTCTGATATAAGCTTTCGAATAACTAACTGGGGGAAGGAGCTCGTGCGGTACAGGTCTCATGTCAGCGTAAGTCCTTTGAAAAGCTTCCCGCTGCATCATTGCGTCTTCTCTTTCAGAAATAGTGGTTAATTGGTGCTCTCTAGCAACTTTAGTTTTTAATTTTTTCTTGGGAGCTTCAACGGGTTTCAATATCTGCTGCACTGGTATGGATGATACGCTAGCTGCTTTTTCCTGATCTTCTGGGTAGCCGGAAGCAATGCTACTAGCTTCATCTGGAATGAAAGCTGTATTTTCGTATCTAAAGTGATCTCCTCTCATGGTTGACAAATCATTTATCATCATTCGCCGACCTCCCTCTATTTCTTCTACATCGGAATTCACAGATGAAGGTGATTCGCTTGGGTAATCGGAAGGAATCGTATCACTGTGGTCACCCGAGCCATTCTGTGACGACAAAGAAGTGAGCAGGGCAGCTTCTGAGCCTGATGTAGATTGAGCTATGGCTCTGGGAATGCGTATTGGGTCAAACATAGATAAAGTCCCCATCGTCGATCCACTCAATTTAGTAATTTCAGATCCTGGTCCTGATGATAAGGGTTTCCTCTTCTTAATAACTTTAATGTTCCTTTTCTTTAAGCAGTAATAAGCTATACCTATTCCCAAGAGAAGGAGTGTCAAGAAAAGTAGGGCACAGATGATGAGAAGCAGTTCTATTTCGGAGAGTTTTGGTGGTACAATAACTGGTACAGCGGCAGTTGGGGGTGGTCTAAAAAGAAAGTAAAAGGTATGAATGAATAAAAATATATTTTAACATTACTTTTATTTTCATTGAAATTTTTTTAAATGAAGGAATAAGTATAAAAATAAGAAGTATAAGTATATAAGAATAAGTATAAATTCTTACAAAACGATTGGCACTTGAGTTGGAGCCAGAGGGGGTGGATACCGACATATAATTGTTTTGATTTCATCTTCTTCAAGTTCCAAAGACCTGTGAAATCGCACTATAATGTTGTTGATAAAAACTCGTGGAGCTTCCTACAAGAGTAAACAATAAAAAATGAGTAAATAATTATTTGATTAATTTTTTAGACAATTATAGACAATTTTTCAAGCGTCAAATCTGTGATTTGTTAGATTTATATTTTGATTTAGTTTTGAATGTCAAACTACTTTAAAATATCGCTATTAAAGTTTATATAATATTCTTTAAAGCATATGTTTCATACATCATGAAAAGTGGATTTTAAAGCGAAAATTTAATATTTTGATAACAAGGGTGGTCGAAAAGTTTTGAATTAACTATAAGAAGATTACCTAAATTTAAGGGATAGAAAGTAAGGAAAAGCATGCGTAATAACATGAAAACATCTTGAGAAAAGTCTTGTTAAGAAATTGGAATTGAGGAAAATGTGGAAGAGATTATTTTGAAACTGCTCGTATTTATTTGTACTTAAATTTGCAATATATTCATTGTAATAGAAAATTTTTTTACATTCAAAACAAGTAGCATATTTCACTAAGAAATAACTTATTGTAATATAATTGAGTTTATTAGACCTGAGAGTAAACATTTTAAAATTAAATATGTTTTGCACAAAAGAAAAGATAGTATAACTTCCAATAATTTCACAGTGAGATAAATCTACTTTTAATTTTAAAATAAAATTTTTCCTGCATAAAATGAACATTTTCTATTATAAAGCAAAAATTTTCAACTGTAGAACGGAGATATTCTATAATAAACTGTCTTCTTTCCACCTTAAAGCAAATACTTTCCATTATAAAACAATTTTTTCCTTCCATAAAATGAATACTTTCTACTATAAAAAAATTTTTTTTCTCCATAAAATGGATGCTTTTCATTATGAAACATTTTTTAAAAATTTTTTAAGACACTTTAAAAATTTTTTTTTTTCATGTAATACGAATTTCTTGCACTCTAAAACAGATACTTTTACTTATAAAACATATATACTTTCCACGATAAAAGGGATGTTTTCCACTATAAATAGGGTCACTTCACTGTAAAATGGGACACTTGCTTCCTTGAAAATAAATACTTAACTACACTGAGAAAAAAAGCATGATCAGAACTTGGTAAAATTTACCGTGTTTCTGGTTCTATAGAAACACCAAAAAGCTGGGTAGTTTTTATCGAAGCGCTTTGGTAATTATTTTGGCAAAATCACAATAAAATATGGTTTTATAATATGTGATACAATTTGGTTATTTAATCATGATACTTTAGATTATGGCATAAAGAACATTTCGGTTAAATTTACTTTTTAGTTTTGTATTTTTTACTAAATGTGTGGTAATAAAAATTATAATTCTGAAAACCAAAATTTTCGGTAAGCTGTAACCGTAGGAGCGGAAAATTTACCAAACGAATGGTTTAAATACCATATATTATGGTTTTTATTACCAGAATTTCTTGAAAATTTTACTAGAAATGTTATTACTATACAGTACGGTAATTTTACCAGAGTGTTTTTCTCCGCTTAATGCCAAAATTATTAAAGTCAATGCAAAACGTAAATCTAACTACAATATATTCTAATATTTTTTTTTCTAATTTAGGGTGAAGCAACACACGCAGATATATTGTTCAAATCTAACTTATAATGCAAAAAATATAAGTAATTTTGAATTGATGGTAGTAATTTTTATAACAGACAATGTTTAGTTCAAATGAAAAATAAAATGTAGATTGTGGGATTGACTAATTAACGTTTAAGGTTGCTCTTTTAATAATCAGTTCAAGTGCTTTTTCTCAAACTGCTCATACTTTTTCTTAAAAATAGATTCGAAATTTATTTTTTAAGCTCATAGGAGATGGATTCGGCTGAGTTAACAGCTGATTAATTGTATTTTTTTCTGTAAAAGTACATTAAATATTTATCATCTGGCATTATTATTAAATTCTGTCGAATTAAAGAACTGATAAAAAGCTCATGAAAATACGTATAACTTCAATTTTATCTGTATTTCCCTAATTTCTTTACTTTATTTTTTTATTTGTTATCATATATTTGTTTATCGTAAATTTGTTTCATAATTTTCAGGTCTATTTCCCGATACAATTGCAACCTTGCCTAGTAATCTTGTAATGCAAACTACGCATTAGGAGCAAGTGTGGATAAAATTTTATACATTTCGTTTTAAAACTTCTTCCAACTTTACTTATTCAGCTCTCACGATTTAACTTGATCACTAAGGATGTCTTACGAAAAGTTGATTTACTATCCAGCCTAATACGATGTAAAAAATTACGGTGAAAAGTACCAAGATTCAGGGTGCTAGTACTTTTCGCCGTAAAATTCATTTCTACCGGAACATGTTACGAAACAAAAAATCTGGTATACTGTAATTTTTATTATAATAATAACAGCAAAATTAATGAATCACTCTAATTAAATATTACTGCAAAAATTACGGTACAATATTTAACGGTAAAAATGGAATTTATAGGGAAATAGATTTCACAGATGATGCATCTAAGGTGCCTGTACTCTATACCGTAATTTTTTTAAAAGTGTAATAAAATTTTTATCAACAAACAAATGAAACTCTGGATTAAATTACGGTAAGAAGCACCGGCACTCTGGGTGTTGGTACTTTTTACCGTAAAATCCATCTCTGCCGTAACATGTCAGTGACTAAAAAAATCTTATATACCGTAGTTTTTACAGTAATAACAAGTAAGCAATTTTTTTAACAGCGAAATTTTCATCCATTTGAAGAAAATAAATTTCTATTTCTTAGATAGCTACAAATATCCAAAGGAAATCATATTAGTTTGAATTGTTCTATTTTATTTTTATTTTAATGACTCGCGACTGAAAGATTTTTGGAGAAAGAAATGGATGTAAAATGAGACAGTTTAATGAAAAACTAGGAGGCTTCGCCCCCTGCTCGCTGGCGCTCACCAACCCCCGGAACTGCTTTCACACTTCATTTCGGATTGCTTCGCACTTTGATGCTCGCGCATTGGATACGTTCTTAACGTCTAGCTTTTGTATACTTTTTTGAACCAGAGGGCTAAAACCATGTGTTGTTAAACAATATAAAATAGTACTGAACGCCGGATGTAAGTTTTGTTTTAAAGTCTTTCCCACCAAAGGGCTAAAACCATGTGTTGTAAAACAATATGAAATAGTACTGAACGCCGGGTGTAAAGCATCGAGTTCGATGAAGATAATTTTGTGAGAATTTATTTGATAATTCGGTGAGAATTCACCCGATTAGACATATGATATGCTCACTACGTGCTCTTGCGCGCCGAAGCCTATCAATTAAAACGTATTAGCGTTTTATGTAATATAGATTAGCCATATGATGCTCACTACGTGCTCTTGCGCGCCGAAGCCTATAAATTAAAAATGAAAACTGTAGCCAACGCGAGAAAAGAAATATCATCGGTTTTATTGATACATACCTACGTATTAGCGTTTTATATAATATAGATTACCGTGAAATCACAGAATAATTCTAATTAAATAAATTGTAGTAATCTAATTGTAACAATTACCGTATAATATTTTACAGCAAAAATATATTTTTCGGTAAAACGGGATTTTACGAGAAAATGGATTATACGGATAATGCACCCAAAGGGCCGGTACTTTATACAGTAATTTGATCCGAAATTTTTGACTGTGTGGCAGATAGTCAAGGAAAGAAAGAAATTGAATTTCAATTAACCAATCATTGTATTTCTGATTTTTTCCCTTTATTTGCGATAGTATCACTTAACTATTTTCAAACGTAAATTTCCTAGTAGCAAATTCATTTATTAGTCACTTAAATTGTAATACTGTTTAAAGACCCAACTCCAGCCTTTGCTAAGAAAACTCTTAACGAGAAATATGCATTAAGAGTAGTTGTGACTAAAATCTCAGATACTTCATTTTCAAAATTCTTCTAACTTTTCCCATTAGCATTCAGCTTTACCGCTATAACTTTATCGCCAAAGATGCCTCAAGAAACGAATGATTTACCCTCTAGCTCTTCAGCAGATAATCAAGGATGGCAAATAAAAAAAAGACAAACCCCGAAGCACATCAATGCTGCAAGGTTATGCAATGAAGTTATCACTTTCATTGCATCACCACTCACAGCATTTTGGACATAAATGTTCAACTTGTTTTCCGATAAAAAATTAGATGTCTTCGTACTACACAGAAATAAGATAAGGCAATTCATTCAGTGTTAAATAAAAGTGAAAAGCGTCACATGGGCCCGAATGCCATGTCTTGTTATTCAGCTGTTGAACTCGATAACAGAGAGGCGGGAACCGGTCCAATACCAGCGTAGGCGTCAGCGGCACCATCTGTGCAGATATCCAACTCTTTAAAAGAGCAAATTAATGCAAGAAGAGGGCATGGGCGATAGAGAGCGATGGTCCATGATTTCGTATTCAAGACATGGATGTTGGGGACCACACGTAGGGTGGGTTTGATAGGTGAGTGGCATTTAAATGGCTACCAGTCCACTTCGGAGTGGTTATGCCTTCGTTTTGAAGAGCATGGAACAGTCTGGTTTTTTACAACTTTTTATTTTAAGGAATTTGTGTCAAGTGCCTTTCAGCGGCAGTTTATTCTTTGCGTGATGGCCACAGATTAATGACGAAAAAGCTTTTGCTAACCTCAAAAGTTTCACCGATGAAAGAAATTTTTGTCTTCTAACTCTCAGAGACAGAAAAAAGAACTTAGTAATCAAATACAATATGAACCCACTGAGCAATTTTGGGGTTTGTGGTATTTTAAAGAAAAATCCTTGTTGGTACTATCATATGTGGAAATATAAATTTACTGAAATATTTAAAACAAATACAATTTGAAACCATTAATTTTTCACATCCATTATTGAGAGAAATTATGATGATTGGCCCCCATTGGCCCGTTTCTTAATTTACTCACAGTTGCGGTTTGATAAAAAAAAAAAGCTTTTTAATCTTTAATCCAGGACATTGAAACGAATTTTCATGGTTTAAATCCTTTCTATGATGATCCTAGGTGATACGGGTGAAATGTTGTTATGATTTAGAGGACTTTTCTTAGATATACTTGATAATCGAAAAACTTCATTAGTTTCAATAATTATAAAGATGGAAAAAGTTAGCATTTTTTGAGCACTCAAACAAGGCATCCATTAAAAAAATCCACCAGACGCGAATGAGAAAAAACAAATGTGAAGATTAAAAAAAAAAATGCAAAATTGCCAGCGAAAAAATAAGGGTTAAACAATAATTAAAATTAGGGCACAGAGCAAAAAACAAGTAAAATCGTGGTAGCTGAAGGAGGTAACAGTGCCCGAATGCGGAAAATCAGCGCTGGATGCATTTTAAAGAGGTATGGAAGGGTGGTAAACTTGAGACTCGGCATGAAACGTTACAGAGCATCAATATGAACCGATGAGACGGAGGAGGAAGGAATCTTGGCGCTATTAAATTTAAATTTGTGGCCAAAGTTGCAGCAATATATGGTAATAGATGATTGGTTTATCAAATTCTTGATGATGTTCATAACTGTCGTGATCCCTTAATAAAATTTTCAAAAGGCTTAGGCTTGTCCGCTATATCCAAGGTCGCATTGGCCACCTTGGATATAGCGGACATGTGGTGAATGCCCCAGAAATTATCAATAGGGATTTTATCATCAAAGGATTTAAATTTAATTTTGTTAACAGGCTCAGAAAATATCATTGATTTTTGATAATATTTTTGCATCAAAGTTTTAACGAATAGTTTTATTTTTTCAAATGTGATTTCTATGAAGGTTTATCCCTCATAAACTTAAAAATGTGGAAATGACACATTAAGTATGGCATAAAGAATTTAGATATCATTTTAAATTGTTATTCAGTGTGTTGAGTTTACGAAGCGTAAAAATTAATAGCACATTATTTTTTACCTGTTTTGTTCCACATCCTTTTAATGGTATGCGAAGCTCGTAGTAGCGACTGCCATCCCCATAAAATTTGCATGGACTTGATCTGTCGTAATCAGTGTAAGTTACGCCACGAAATGGTTCAGTGAAGTTGATTTTGATAACCATCTCACCTGATGCGCAGGAGAGGTAGGCTAAAAGAAAATTCAAATAAAAAATATAAGCATAAAAATCACAAAAACGTGAGTAATAATCAAATGGTATTTGTCAAAAGTGGGCTGAACGTGTCTTGTATTTAGAGCTGTTAAGGTAAGTGAAAATTATGAAAAATATGTCAAGCTTTTGTTTTCTTAACAATTTGAGCAGCACTTTCTTTCAACTTTCAGTTTTCAAATTATGACTTCTAAATTAAATTTGGAATGTATCTTGATGTAAGAAATGAGGAGAAAACAATTGTACCTGCTATTTTGTATCTCTTGTGTGTGTCAAAAGGCAGTGAAATGAACGCAAAAAAAATGTATAAAGAATTTTAACAGGATTATATTTGACTAATATTCAAAATCATCGGAGTTCTAGTGTCTTTCATTTCATTTTCACATAAAAAAAAATTAAAAATATTAAATTTTAGAGAAGTTTTCCAAAAGCATAGATATTTAATAAGAAAGATTATTTGCACAGCAATGTAATAAAATAGTAAATTTTCATTGCAATATCTATTAAAATTTAAAATCTGTTAGTGAATATTAATTGAAGGTATTTGTTTTATTTAAAAGTTTAGTATTCACGATATAGCAAAATATAATGATTTAATTCGTCAATACTAAATTACCAATATTAATTATTTAAAATTAATTCTATAATTATATCACAAAATTAATATATATTTTTAAAATTCATATATTAAGTTTAAAAATTCATTTTAATTTCATGTACTAATATTAATTAATAATATGATAATAATATTAAAGCCCATAGTAATATAAAAATTAATTAATATTAATAATATATTCTTAATTAATTAATGGAGAGAATAATTAATTAATAATAAATTAATATTTATAAATGTTAAAAAATAATATAGGTCTTAAAGATTCATATTAATTAAAAAATTACTTTTTTAAAAAATTTAATTAAAATTAAATTTAACAAATTAACAATTAATTAATTAAATTTTTTTTATTGATATTTTAAAGACGCAATTAAACAAAAATTTTGTTAAATTAGTAATATAAAAACTGAATTACAATTTAGATTATATTTTCGAAATCGAGACAATTTTAAAAAATTTACCTTGTTACTGTTATGATTTTAAAAACTTACTGATAATTTAATTTTTCACGCAAATGAATCTCACATCATTTAAATATAATGTATTTTTTCTTATCTATTTGTATTAACCGATGATTTTGTTAATATTCCTCCTCGTTTGAATTGTGAACAACTATTTCAATTTTCTCAAAAATAGTTCTTTTTGTAAAATAGGTGCTGAATATTTGAAATTTCCTGCTCCTTATAAAAAAAAAAAGGTTTGTGATAATTTATGAAACCTTGTACAAAATGCATGCTTTGTATAAATAGCATACTTTATATTTCTGTTGCAACACATTATTGTATTATTGCATTATTGTTGAATAAAAAAGGTTCAATAACCTAATAAAGTTTGATGTTTTTCAAAACACGTGTTAAATAAATTTCAAAAAGATGAGTGGTTTTAAAATAAAGGCTTATATCACACTCATTATAAAACTTTAAGCTAAATAAAATATCTTGAAAAATTTGTTATTGTTTTTTAAAATAATTTAGTAGTTAGAAAATTTGCAAGTTACAATTTTCAAAGAAATTAAAAAAAAGTTAGCAGAAACAAAAAAAAAAGTGTTATTTTCATGTAGCAATTGCTTGATTTGAGAAAAAATTTCCATTTTAATATCCCCTTTGTCTTACTCTAATATCCATATGTAGATTAAGGTTAAAAGTTTCAGGTAACTTTCATGACAGAATCTTTTCGATATTTGCAATCGAGGGATGTTAATGAAAATAAGTTAACAAATAAAGTTAAAAATGCATTTTAATACTCCGTAAGTGATAAAAAAAACTTTTTTTTATTAATTAATATTTATAATCTGCCTTGAGGATTTTTTTCTTACCTCTTGTCCTATTGGTAAGTATTTCGCTGCTAAATTCATCTGCAACTGCTTGCCGCACAACATTTTCCACGTGTGTGTCATCTCTTTTGCCTTCTTGACAAACAATAGGCTGGAATACCTAGTAAACAAATAAAGTTTTGTATTTCGATGTATTTTTTTTTGTTAAAAAATCTAATTAAAAAGAAATTAAAAGAAAAATTCAACTTTTTTTCGAAAGATTTCTTTTTACATACTTGGTTTAAGTTATTAAAAGTTGAATAGTTACATTAATAATAAAACATATTAAGGATCGAAAAATATTAAGACTTTTGCATGCTTTGCTTGGCATATTAGTAATCCAAATAGAAATTTTCACTCACTTAAACATCTAATTCGTTTGCATAATATTTAAATCATATGAATTCCCGAATCGATCGAAAAAAATGTCAGTAACAATATGATATCTACATAAATACTTTTAATGAAAATCAGATGCATTAATTATTTCTTTACAATGAAGTATTGGATATCATTAAAAATGAAGTTTTACGCAAGATTAAGCATTGATAGCGTAAATGTAGAGCCTTGTTATCAACATTGTTGATAATTATCGGCACTCTTCAACATGCTACTTGAAAGTAATTGCGCTCTCTCGCAATCTATCGGAAAAATGTCAGTAACAATCTGACATCTACATCGTCTACATCAATTCTACTTAATACGTCCTCATACCTACTCATATGCGTAATTATACCTACTTAATGCTAATAATTATCAACTTAATGCGTCTATTTCGTTTCTATTAAAATAGAAATCAGACGCATAAAGTGCTATGGCTTTTGCATGCTTTGTTGATCATGTTAGAACTTAATATACGTGCCTGAAAGAAACTTTTATAAACTTTCTAATTCGTATGCATAATAATGAAATCATATGAATGCATTGATCTGTCGAAAAAAATGTCAGAAACAATATGATGTCTTCATCAATACTTTTAATACAAATCAGACGCATACATTGAAAAAAAGTAAAAGGCATTATTAAAAAAGAAGTTATGGTTTTTTAAGAAGCAAAGAGTAAGAATTAATAGCGTAAATGCAGAGCATTGTTATCAATATTGTTAAGAATTATTGACAAGAGCATTCACTTCATGTTGTCTTAAAGCAATTGAGATTTCACGCTGCTTTCATATTGTGATTTCAACTTTCATATTTATTATTTTTTTATGCAGAACTGATAAACTTTTTTTCAAAATTAAACATGACTCGGGGAAAAAGTTTGTTTTACAAATTCATATTAAAATTCAATAAAATTATGGTCTAATCAAATCTATCGGATTTCCCATTTTTTTCTGAATGCGGATATTTCCAGTAGCTCAACATTAGAAGACGAAAGCCTCCTGAAAAAGTTCACTGCCTTAAACTCTATAAATAATCTTGAACGAAAGATTCAGTTCTTAAAAATCGAGGAAGAACACTAGCGTTCCGCCCTGTCGTGAAAATTTAATGTTCCTCAGAGTTATAGAAAATTGTACAGGAAATGATAGAGTTTTTGAAAAGCGTCGATTTCAAATACCAAGGGCATTAAACCACAAATAAGATGTTTCAAGCACACAATGAGTATACTTTTCATCTCTAGGAAGTGGTTAGATTTCAGAAAAGCGGAAAAAAAAAGAAAAGTGTAATATCATCCATGAAAAGTAAATATTGCGACATCGCACGATTCTTATAATTTTATGGGATGCTTCCGACAATAGTGCAGAGCGAAGCCAACGTTTGATGATGCGTTGTAATGATAGTGGTTTGATGTATGGACTACAATAGTTTTTTTTTTATCTCTTAAATAGGGGAAATTTGAAGTTACTTTTTGGTGTTACTTTGATTTAAAACGATTAGCGTGCTTCAGGCTTCCGCTAACTGCTTGGGTGGTAAAGAATTTAGCAATGAATTTTTTTAAAGAAAAACTCGCATTGTTATATATAAGACAAAAAATGACTGCAGACGCGGAATGTGGAATTGTGTAAAAATAAAGCTAGGGGAGAGTGGGGTAAGACTGGGTAATGGGGTGAGACCGGGTACGTAGAATGTGACGAAATTAGTTCCGTTTCCTAGCGGAATAAAAGAGAAATCAAAAATCATATATAAAACGTTAAAAACTGCAATTCCAAAGGAATGTTGCTCAATGCAGTAGAAATTCCATAAGAAAATTGAAACCAATAGAAAATTTTAAAGAAGAAAACAATGAAAATAATATTAAAATGACAATCGAAGCTGTCGTCTTCAGGGGGTACCAGTCCCGGATGTCATAAAAACTCAAAACGTTTGTTATCGAGAGAGCACGACAAAAGTCTTAAATTTGCTCTTTCTGTACCTCAAAGGTTTTGCCGAAGTCCAGAAAGAGAGAAAAAGAAAAGAGAATACAAAATTCAAAGTAAAATACATAAACTAATTCCAAATGAAAAAACTATTTTCAAAACACCTACTTACAAATATTCCTTTGTCAGCATAAAAACACACTACATCTGAAAATCCTTAAGGATTTTCTTATTTGTTTCCTAGTGGACTAACTCTGAATTACACTTTACTAATAAAAAAGAAAGGCCTACCATATTGGTGTTGTTGTTGTTGATTAGTTTTGTTTTATTATGTCAACCCTCTAATGCTCTTTTGTTTTTAAAATAGCCTTATTTATTGTTTGTTAGAGTTACAAAAGATAGTTACTTTTAGCTCTTCTTATTAGGCATTACTTATACCTTAACAGACAATAAAGATTTAATTCAATAATAGCACCATTCTCTTTTGTTACGATAATCTCTGCTCTCAGGGTAAGAACGGGTACAATCCAGATCAGCCCCCCTCCCCCCCTGATGAGAGTCTGTGCTGGGCACACGAAAGCTGCAGTGCACAAGAGAAAAAAAAAACTATATCCCAAGCTGAATAAAGGTCTTTCAAACAAAATCCATTGCTGGCCCCTTCCTCAAAACACAAAACACTTTTTTTCATATTTTGTAGAATTTTTGAAGAGACTTTAAACAATACTGTAGTTCTTGTATAGATATAAAACAATTTTATTTAAAAAAACAAACAAATTAATAAACGCAATATTTTTTGAAAATTTTGGTTGAGGCTTCAGAAGTACAGTTCCCAGGGCATTTGTCCTTTTCTCTTCGCACTATTGAGTTAAAAAGTCATAAAGACATTCAATCATTCATAAAAAAGGTAGAACATCAATGATTTTTTAGGAATGATATATTGTACACAATCAAACAATGAATATTTGGATAAAATCTGGCAATTTGTAGGCAGAACAGCTTATCTCCAACAGGTCTTCAAATCTTAGCTGCCCGGTGTTACCCCGCTTTTCCGTATATTTAGAGTTTTAAGCTCATGATCAAACTTCAACTTTTTGATAAATTGAAGATCACAAAACATTATATGTTTTTAAAAGTCAACCCCACCTGGAAAGAAATTTGAGAGGAAAATTTTCCTTTTTAATTAACATTCATTTCCAGAAAATTTCAATAATTGAATCAAGATCAAGTCCTTGGTTACAAGAAGAATTACGGACTAAATGTACTTTACAATGCGAGAAATTTAAAAGAAAATGCATAGATAACTGAGGGGGTAATATTTAATTGGTTTTTAAATTCTATTTAAATAACAAGAATGTAATTGCGTAACAATTAAACTCTACTTTCAAGAAAATTTCAGTGGTAGGTATTAAATAATTGTATTTTTTTTAATTAATTCCTGTATGTTATTCGAATAAGGACTTAATATTGGGATCACCTATAGGAAAAACCACCACGATCCAATTAAACTACGCCAATATATATATATATATATATATATATAAATAAAATTTAGATATATTTAAATTTAAGCAATGCGTGTCTCGATTATTCTTTGATTTTCAACTTACTTTAAATTATTATTTTATTCTAGAAATATTGGCAACTCAGATGAAATCGTATAAACAATATCAAGTGCTTTCTTTTTTTTGTACTTCTACGTTTATCGTTTTATTGATTGGTTATTGGATTTCGCAGAGGGAACGACAGAGTCATCGGAGTTTAAGAAGTTTTCTTTGAACAGGCTTTTCGATTGACAATACCGTGATGAATTCACACGCTTTAGTGAAGTTCTGTCACATGGTTTGTTTCCCTTTGTCTCGTGATGAAAAGTAATTGAAAAGCGAAAGTCGAATTACGGGATACATAGTTGGCTGAATAAACTTTAGACATCGTATTACTCAGTGTTTTCTTTTCGTGAGAGGAACTCATGGCAAGTTTTCCAATTTTTCACTTTATTGACGTACAAATGTTTTCCAATTCGTCTTAAAATGACGAAACATGGTTAAAAATTAAAATAAATATCTCTTTGAAAATATGACATTAAGAGTTACTTATAAATGGCAACTAAACACTATACAAAGTATCCTTGGAATTTTCACCAAACTTCACCTGACATCCACATTGATGTTTTTGAAGACAAATGCTTTTTTATTTCGTCATAATTGATGATATAAATACCATTATAGTTTTAAACTACCTGAAATTGCAGTTTATGTCTTCAAATTTACTTAGAAATCATTGTAGCCGACTTACTTTGTAATTCGTATTAAATCTAGTAACATATCTGGCATATAAAAGTACAAAGATATTTTAATCAAACCAGATCAATAATTTTGCGCTGTAATAATTTTTTAAATTAACATTTAAAATTATAGGTTTATTGTTATCAAAAATTTGGCGAGTGCATAACCGTATCTTAACATTTTCGCTTACTAATCAAGCTGATATATAAAAATTTGTGCATCACATTGTACATAAAACTGATTGTTAAGTTCCTTTAATGGTAATTCATAATAACATATTAATGTAATTCATGTATAAACATAGTACAGATTGTAAAACATTAATAAGTTTAGAAGCCAATTGAAATAAGTTTATCTTAAAATGCTGCGTATTAAGTTAATATCATACAATTACGTTATAATAAATCTTTTAGTTTCAAACTCTTAATTTATAAAACAATAAAGATCAAAAACTTAATAATAGCAGATTAGAATTAGGAAAACAAATATTACAGTTAAATACCTTTTAATTAAGGATATTGAAATATTTTATAGAAAAACAAT